ACGGCAAAATTTTTACAAGAAAGCATCTAATTTGGACGTAAATAATTTTTTTCATTTTCTTTAAAAAAAAAAAAAAAAAAAAAAAAACGTATAAAATAATTAAGGGGGCCGAATATAGTTTCCATTGCGCAATATTTCGCGCATCATAGAAAAATGAAGCGTATTTACTGTTTTAATGCAACTTTTTTTGCTTAATTATCAAAATTAAACAAAATTAAGAAATTAAAGGTATAAAAATGTAATAAAATTTGATATAACTGATTTTTTAACCGATTTTGTAATTGATAGGTAGGTTGACGTCGTTGCAGTGTGTTTTTGGCGTTATGGTAATCTTAGCTCTTAAAGAAAGGAGTAATAAAAATATTATTAAGGAAAAAGTAATAAATATTCGCTCTTGAAATTTAAAACATAGAAATTTGATAATATATCCGATATTTTTTATCATGTTTTCATGTGAATCCATTGTGTATGTCATAGTTTGTAAAACTCTATAAAAATAGTAAAATTTGCTTATATTTTGCATTTTGAGATACCCCCTCTGGTAACAAGACGGTAGAATTTTGTGTTTCTTACATATATTGTATAATATAGTATTACTCATCAAATATTATAGTTTGAACAAAATGTCTATTGTAGTATTTGTATAATTTTCTTTAAAGTGCTAAAAATTGGCATTTTCCTATATAATCCTATAGTAAATGTACCTGTATTTTGAGACGGTCCCTCAAAAATACCTGGACGGTAGATTTCCCCCAAACTTTGCATGTACACTGAAGTTAATGTAAGTTATATATGGTATAAAAATGAAGAGTTTCGCTATTGTAGTTTTCACACAATAAAACTATAGTCGGCCCCCTTAAAAGATATGTCGACTTTTCAATGCTGAAACCATTGTTTAAAAAGGTTGACTTGCAGATCACTAAAATAAAAAGTTGTTTTGGCATTCGTAGTTAACTTAAGCCTTTTTATATAGGCCCTGTGAATATTTGAAAAAGTTTAAAACTGCTTTGTTTCAGTTGCCTATGCTTTAAATATCATTAATATCCTTGACAATTGCAAATCTATTAAAATAACTTAATTTTCTTGCTATAATAAGTGCACAATGAAGTCAAGAATTTTGTCATTTTCGTCATATTCTGAAAGATTCAACAAAATGGCCGATTTTTATTGCTATTTTTTCCTCAATATTTCATACAGAAAGTAACTTCTGATCTAAAATATGTAATAATCAAATGATAGAACTTTGAGTTGTCTGAAGATTAAAAAAAATTTTTTATATTTTGGATCAAGAAATGCACTCATATAATTTTTCTTTTCTGAAAGAATCTTTTTTTCCCCCTTAAAATTAAAGAACATTGCAAGTTCATAAAGCCAGTTTTCCAATACCTGAACTTTTAGGGGAAAATTTAATAAGGAAAGAAAGCACCAAGTCTCTAATTGATTTTGATGTTTTGACATAAAACGAAGAGTGTTCTTTTATAAAATAATATATCTACAGTCGAGGGCCATTTTTGCATAAGTGGACCTAGCTGGGTTTTTTTCCCTCATACTGATCAGCATTTGCTTGTGTAAAAGATCAGCGTGAACAGTTTATTAACGTTTTAGTCTAAGTAATAAATTCTTTTGTCAGGTAAACATAAATATATATATTGAGTATTAATCGAAACAACTAATTTTCAGCACATTTTATGAAGAGAAAGAGCTAGGTTCACTTTATGCATAATATGGCCCTAATTATTAACTAGCTATCACCTTCTTTATATTTCATATACATGTATCAAAATAAGACACTTGATGTTTCGTTTCCTATAATAAAATTTCTTTATAAGAATCCAGATACTGGAAAACAGGAATTGAAAAATTGCAATGTTCTTGAAATTTGCAGAAAACGCGTATTTTACTACCTTCAGCAAAGAATTAAATGAAAGAAAAAGTTAGCAAGCTCACATACTTCACGCTCCCCCAAAACTCAAAAGTGCTGAAAATCCCGGAAAAAATGAAAGAATCGGAATTTCCCGGTACGGTAATATGCACATCTACAAATTGTGTCCTAAATATCTGCAGAGTTTGATGAAATTCTGCGCAGCGGTTTCTGAGGAGTTGCGCTGACAAAATGTTCACCACTATATTCAAGATATCCCCAAAAATTTAAGTTGTAAAGTGCAGAAATTCCCAGAAAAATAAAGGAATCGGAATTTCCTGGTAAAATGCACATCTATACATTGTGTCCTAAATATCTGCAAAGTCTGTCGAAATTCTGTGCAGCGGTTTATGGGGAGTCGCGCTGACAAAATGTTCATCTGTATATTCAAGGTATGGCCAAAAATCTAAGTTGAAAAGTGTGGAAATTCTAAGAAAAATAAAGGAATCGGAATTTCCTGGTAATATGCACATTTACACATTGTGTCCTAAATATCTGCAAAGTTTGACGAAATTCTGTGCAGTGTTTTTTGAGGAGTTGCGCTGACAAACTATTCATCTCTATAAAAAAGGTGTGGCCAAAACCTAAGTATTTAGTGCGGAAATTCCCGGAAAAAATAAAGTAATAGGAATTTCCTGGTAATATGCACATTTACACATTGTGTCCTAAATACCTGCAAAGTTTGACGAAATTCTGTGTAGCGGTTTATGAGGAGTTGCGCTGACAAACTGTTCATCTCTATATTCAAGGTATGGCCAAATGCCTAAGTTAAAAAGTGCGGAAATTCCCGGAAAAAATAATTGAATCGGAATTTCCTGGTAATATGCACATCTACACATTGTGTCCTAAATACCTGCAAAGTTTGACGAAATTCTGTGCAGCGGTTTATGAGGAGTTGCGCTGACAAAAAAAAAAGGACTGACTGACTGACACTCTGACGGACGGGTCAAAAACATTATACACTGTACCTCACGCATCTAGTTGCGTGGGGTATAAATATGAGCACAGCAGCCCACGATCCAAAAAATAAAACATGTTTCTTGATCTTCAGAAATAAATCTTTCATTATGCTAGCATATTTTGGATCAGAGGTTGTGCTTTATATGAAATATTGAAAAAAAAACTTCAATTTTAGGTCATTTTCAAAGGAATTTACAGGATATGAGGAAAATGGACGCATGCGCATTTTATGACTAGTGGGAAAATTACGTCATGATTATTAGATATGTAGTCACCAACACTCCAAGTGATAAATACTGTATTTGCAATAGATGATGAAAATCATTTTTTAATAGTATGTAAAAAAAAATTTGATCATCAAAGAAAAGAAATATTTCAGTTAATTAATCATAAATTTCCACTATTTTCAGCTTTAGATGATAAACACAAAAACTTTATTGGTTACTCATATACAGAAGATAAGGAAACTCTTAATTTTGTGGGCAAATTTATAAATGATAACATGTTATAAAAGTATTAGTCTTTTACACATACATGCATATTTGATGTATTCCTTTTAGATAGGATTATTGTTGAAATGATTTATGTCAACTACTAATTGTATAATTGTTTTGCTATTCATTGGCTTATTAATCTTTTCCTTATTATTGTACATGTAACAACCTCATACTTGTTTGTTATGGGCTCTAAATTAGAAATATATACATTTGTGGTATCTCTCCATTATATAAACATACAGAGAGAAAATATCTTCAATTCTGTATGAAGTTTGTCAGAGGTCAGAGGTCAATACGTGACCTAATCACACGGCGCAATAATATCTACCGGTACATAAATTATAAAATGACCTGCTCTACTTGCTTTTCGTGTATAAAAATGAATAAAATAAGCAAGTAAAATGATAATTATTTTATTTTAAATGTAAACAAGTATTTCATACAGTTTTTGGGCTATCGATTCAACCTGTGTACATAGAGAAAACTAGGAGCCTAGCGTTTGTTTACATTTTTCTTCACTTTTGTCAGCTGCACAGTCTCTAACGTTCATCCTAATTTTTTGGATAGACCTTTGGTTAAATTTTCATGATAAACTTTTATTTTATCTTTAAATTTTACTCACGATAAATGTGTAAATCTGTTGGAAAATATCTTTGCAATCATGCCATGAACAGCTGCCAAACACCTCGGCGTTTTCGTAGTTCAATGTAAAGCTGTCGCCAGTGTCTCCGTGTTTATCAGTGTTTTACGATAAGTATGCCTTTAGTTACTGAAACCGTGGAATATTTTTGATCAAATTGCAAATTAACTGGCTCGAACAAGTGTCTTAGTCCAGCGGATCCATCCATCCCTTTCCAGCGACCGAAATTCCTCCAACTTTTTATCATCAAACTTTGGACGTGTTTCTTGTGTCTTTTCAGCATCGATTATCATTTTCACGAATGAAATATTCCCAGACAACAATCTGTTCACTATTACTGATCACAAGTAGCCTTTCACAAAATATTCTCTTCGAAACAGATTCCTTAGCCTAATGAATTTGAAGCGTAACCGCCATGCAAGCCGATTTACACCTTGCGTCATTTTTCAAAATCTACGACGGACGGTTAGTGCAATAATTTAAATTCGAAAATATTCAATTGTCTGTCTCAAATGTATATATAAGTAATAAATAACAAGTTTATAAACTTCAATGGGAATTGAAGTGGGTCGGTACGTGATCAAATCTTCTGAGAAGGCCTTCGGCCTTCACAGGATTTGATCACGTGACCGACCCACTTCAATTCCCATTGAAGTTTATAAACTTGTTATTTATTTCTTAAATAAAATGTTCTTTTCTGTTCTGCAATCTAAATTTAACTGAGCGGTTTTGATTTTTCAGAAATATTCTCAGCCCCTGGCCAAATAAGGTCCAAAGTGGCTTTTACTCTTTTAAAATTAAACAATCAGAGAGCATGAATGAGTTTTTCTAACGAAAGAAAATAGGCCTATATAAAAAAAAAATAAATGGTACAAATAACTCTTTTCAAAATTACTCCATTATACCAGAGACATAAGAGAGGGATGTGTCTGATGAAAGTCGTGATCCGCCAACGCGAATCAACACCGTAAGGATAGATAACTGCAATGTTGTCTGAAACCCGGAAGTTACGTAATCGTTGCTGACAAGAGAAGATGGAGGATGGAACTAGCTTGAAGACGGGGTTTCTTCTCCGATATGTAAGTGTTGACAGTCATATTAAGTTGAGCATGGATGTGTATAATATTTTCTGTGATAAATGTAATACGAAAGATAATCTGAGCTTCTTTATTTCCCTATTATAACAGCATACAAACATGTAGGAGGCGATGTTGTTTTGTTGATGTTGCGGAGGTCACAGCTGATTATAACTTTACACTTTGTGCCTTCATAGAATTTGTGGGGAATATATGAGTTTCCTAGTATAATACATAATAATTAGCTGGAAGATCTGGATTTTTTTGTATACAATGTGCACTCTAGTGTCTCTCTGCTTCCGGAATATGAAACTGAGACTTGTCTAGCGTTAATCAGTTTATAAAGTCAATTTGAAATGGAAATGCCCTTTAATAATTTTATAGAATGAGTTTAATCTCATTAATTTTACAAAGATTTATAAATCAGGACTTATCGTATTAATAGCAGAGAATTTATCTCATATCTCCAATTGAAAAACTTCTATGATAAACATTTTAGTATGAATTTTATTAGCTTCGCCTGTTATGCATGAATTATCCCATGTTTCCCACTATCGTTGATTTCCCTGGCATACTACAGTTGTTTGGCCAGTTCCGAATAAGAAACCGATTCGGCGGTGCTATAAATATACTAGGCATAATTTCAAAATTTAAGTGTTTTGTCAAGGTAGTTCGTTGACTTGTGGAATTAAATATTGTTTCACAAAAGTTCAGCCTTCCCTCCAAAAAATTTATTTCGCAAGTTACCATAGGTGTCCATTTTACCAGTTACGAATAAGCCGACGAGTTCCGGATAGGCTAGAGATTCTGATTCAATACAACCCTAAATTAAACAATATACGTCCCAGACGTTATCCATTGACATGTCTAAGAAAAGTTAAATCAATTGCTTACCAATAAATTATTTGTATTTCCAAACGTTGAGGAGAAACTAGAGGTACTGTGGGTACCGGGCTCATTTTAATGATACCCCACACCTCGTTTATGATTATTTATGATAAAGTCCATGTTTTGCTCTGGGAGACCCGAAATAAGTGTCAGATCAAAAAGTAAAATAAAAGGTAACGATGTCACAATATAATAAATAATCTGTGAAAGAATCATTAAATCTTATTCAGTGGAATAGGAGGAATTGCGGATAAGAGATGTATATATACCTTTCAATATTACAAAGAATGGCAGTTTATCTATGTTTTTCTCAGGGAGCCCGAATTATGTGCCTGATCCAAAAATAAAATAGGTGCACTTTGGTACTGTTAAACAAAGGTTCTGTGAAAGACTCATTAAATTCTGTGAAGCCTCATAAAACTTCATTCAGTGGTAGAAGAGGGATTGCAGATAGGAAATGGATACCCCAGAGTGTATCAGACGGGTGGACGTACAGACAGACGGATGGGCAGACGTAGAACCGATGGATGGACAAACATCCCATTACTATATACCCCTTCTTCCTGTTTTTCAAGCGGGGGTATAATAAGTCACGTTTACAATGAAGAAAACAACGAAGAGTGAATTTACAATAATGTTTAAAATGGGTATTCGGAACTGGTAAAATAAGAGCACGAAAATATTTCAATATCTTACAGTGTTCTAAATATTTATTTTTGACTAGTTTTTAGTATATGTTAGAGTACATATCAAACTTACTTTTGATACCTGGAACGTGATTCTATGTGAAAAATTAATGTATTTAAAGAGGTCACATCTGCAGACTTACGCGTCGCTTGATTCAGATTTGTTGCGTTGTAAACGTATGTCGACTGTTTCAAGTACGATTACGCAAACAAACCGAGTGCAAAAAATCAAAACTTCATATTATTCAAACAATCATAAATAGGCCTTCTTACCATAGAAATCAATTTATTTTTACACCGTTGAATTTATTAATTACCAGTCCTTCAATGACTAATTATTCGGAACTGGCCAAAATCCGGAACTGGCCCAACGACTGTATACTAACTAGATACAACATTCTATCGTTAAAATGATATTGTCCTATGGACCCTTTGGTGAGGGCTTATGTACCGAGACACAGTTAGATTATTCTAACTATAAACTAACTAGACAGTGATTCCTGATATTTCCATTTCATTGTGAAATAAAATTGTAGATTTAGATTTTAAAAAATCTAGACATAGTTTTAAATTACATGAGGACTCCTGTGCCAACTTCAACAGTCCTTGCCCACTGACAGAGTTTTTGAAATCCACCGGTCCCACCGGCAAAACTGGTAAATATTTCAAAAGTCCGGTAATTTTCTTCATGTAATCGGTCCGAGGGACCGGTAAAAAAAAAATTGGATCTTTCCGGAATTTTAACCTCTTTAATAACCTGTGAATTTTAAGTTTATTTGTGAGATTGTCAAAAGGATTGAATCTGTGTGTATGAAAAAATAAACTCAAGGGCTTTTACGACAGTTAGTCATGATTTTTTTCTGCCGTATCTGCGTTTGTTCGATCAATCAGCTGATTCAATTTGTAAAAAAATGTTAATTGTAGCTTTATTTGGGGTGCAACATATATCAACCGAATTGCTAATCATCATTTACCTTAAATTCATAGAGTTTAAAAATAATCATTATTGTTACATTAAACATTTCCCCACATTTTGAACTTCGTTTTCTGCGGAAGGCAGCCATGTTGGGTACCTACTGTACATATCACACCTGGTGAATTCAGTCCGGGGATATTTGACGCTCTGGATTTTTTAAGGCCTAACTGGAATTAAGACATTTTTTTTTTTGTTTTGAATATGTTTGTTGATGGACCAGTGAATATTTGTGTGGACTGGTGAATTTCAGTAAATCACTGGTCCACTTGACCAGTGAATTTTTTTTTATTTCCAAAACTCTGGCCACTGACGTCAAATGCAAAGGCAGCCGCACGAGATTTACATGCATATTTGGCATAAATATATAGAATTATCAAGAAATCAACTCCGCTAACTTTTGAAAAGTTATCACAGAGAAAAAAATTAGAAATGGTAATATTTCTTGATCATTCTACCAGAATGTAAATATAGCTAAGTGAAAGGTGAGGAGGTACTGTAAGGATGCCAAATATGCATATAAATCTTGTGCATCTGTGTTAAAATCTGAATGCTGAGGATCTCGAAGCCTATAATTGTATATCCATGTAAATCTCATGCAGTTGTCTTTGTGTTAAAGTCACTGGGCAGGGACTATTGAGAATGACATTGGAGACCTCACGTAATTTAAATCTATTAGTCTATATCTCTGAAAATTAAATTTACAATTTTATTTTAGAATGCAATTGAAATATAAGGAATCACTGTCTAGTAAGTAGAGTATGCCAGGGACATCAACGATAGTTGGAAACTTTGGATAATTTATGCATAACGGGCTTTGCATACCATGCAAATTTATACCAACTTTCCATCTATCGTTGATGCCCTGCATACTCTAGTAACTCGCCAGTGATTCCTTAATATTGATTCATCATTTCAATATAAACATTACAGTAATTTGTATATATGTATTTCATGATTTTTTTGGAAGTTGTCTTTTCAGTATACATCATGGTATATAATATACTATTCCTGCTAATTAGCAAAGATTTTGAAATCCCCAACAAATTAACATACTTAAACGAAAGGTCAAATAAATATAATCATATACAAACTTGTCATATTTGCATGCCTGTGTTTGTATATAACTTTAAGCTGGCCAGCATAAATGAGTCAAGTTATTTCCTGTTTATGATAATCTGGTACGTGTGCATAGCATTTAGTCCGTATTTGGTATTTATATATCCTGTCTATTAATGTGATTACATACCTTTAGTAGTATTCATTTTAGAGTGCTCTATATTTTGACAAATATAGTTAAGCACATGGTTATAGTTATTTAAGTTATCATGCTAGTAACACTTATAGTTTTATTTGATGAACTTAAACAAACAGAATGATATTGGTATATGAATCAAGATAAGATTTTTTAAGGAATATATATATTTTAATAGCTAACACAAGTTACTAGTATTTTGTATAAAATGGGTAGGGCAATTTTTTTTTACCTTCAGACATGGGATATTTTGAATTTGCTATAATTTATAAAAATGTGGTATTATGGTGATGTAAATTCAAAACATACGCATGGAATGTAATTATGTCATGAACTTAACAAATATTCACATGAATCAGTTGAAGATAATATTTTTTTAAGGAATTATTTTAATAGTAACCAAGTTACTAGTATACTGTATAAAATGGGTAGGAGCAGTCTATAATTTATGGACTGGAATATGGTTAAAAATTGATAAAAATGTGTAATATAAAGGCACTATATAAACATACAACAGAAATCTTACTGTATAGTGTGGTTTGCAGGCATGACTGACAACATTTCCAAAATATTAAATTTCAGATTTTTATTTTACTTTAGAAATCTAAATCCAAAGTGTTTTGCCAGTATAATATTGGCATTATTGGTACTGGTAAAAACATATTGCGAAACAATATTTTTGTTACCGAATCAAAATGATTGATATACATGATAGATCAAATGAATATTATCAAACTAGCTCAGTTGGGACATGAAGTAAGCACCTACAACTAGGATTCAGGATTACAGGTTCAAATCCTGTTTTGGTTTGTTACAATTTTTTCCCTCACTGGCTACATTTAGTAATGTTTCATATCCTGGAAGAGACAGGTGAAAGACCTGCCAAGGAAAGATATTCCTGAATTTTTTGATGGACAGAGACCCAGAAAGGAACTGATGGGTTCAGTCACTAGTGGTCAGATAACTCTTGGTAGAACACTAATTGACTTGTAATTCAGTGGGCCTACAAGTTCAATTTTTGGTCTGGTTTGTCACATTTTCTCCAGATCATTACAAATACATTGTATGGTGTATGCATGTTATGGGTTAATGTAGATCACTAAATTTTCACGACACCTTATTTTCATGAGAAAATCACACTCATTAGCGAGTACAAAATTTTCATGAATTGTGGTTATTAATTGCTCTATTTATCTTAATAAATACTATTATACACGAGAATTAAATTTTTTCAGGCACACTGTCTTGCGAAATTATGCAAAAATAAAGTTCTCTCGATTAAAAAGTGATTTACAGTATATCAGTCATGATTAATAAATATCTGCTGGATAGAGGAGTTTAAGCATAAGTTGAAGTATTCCATGTTTTCCTACAGGAACCCAGTAAAAGGTGGAAGTTAAGGTGGTTTGCCCTTCTGGAGGAGCAGTTGGTGTGCACACACAAGTTACATCATTCAATGGTGGTGGACATCATTCCCCTTGAGGGAGCCTCAGTTGTTTGTCCAATAACCGATCCCCAGCTGAATACACCAGTAAGTACAAAGTTACCCCCCCCCCCCCAACCCTTGATTTAATCATTTTGATGTGGTTAAAAACTTCATAATTATCTAAAGTTATTTTCCGAGAGCTTTCTCACAAAAACAATATAACTTGTATTTGAAGTGTTCATTCAATGACTTATGTATATAATCATAGTTATCCTTTAATTTAGCAGAGAAATTTTGGGAATACAAAATATATTGTTATGATTTAAATTAAATGAATTGTGAAAAAAAACCCACTTTGGAATCATGGTCAGCTCTCAGTTTGTTCTGGGAGAGTTAAAATACTGTAATCATGAAAATATGCCAGATCATTATGTATTTTTTTCTTTATTTCAAAGAATAATACACACTCATTCTGTGTAAGTAAGTTTTAAGTCAATTTTATTTTGCAATCATTGCCATGCTTTGACCTTCTATCTCTTAAAAGGGCATTGATTTACTAACTTGCTTCAAATGTTCAGTTGTTTTGATTACAGTTTTGAGTATCTAATTTTAAAATCAAGTTTATTGAAAGATTGATTCAGTTTGATGATAGTTATGAATTTGCATGAAAATACTTTAAATACTTAATGACAAGAGCATTCTCCTTAACCTTACATTGAACACCTGTGTTTGAAAATATTGACACTCTTAATTAATTGATGCAAGCTTCCTTATAGGACAGTAATTATTTTTTACAGGATAACTTCAGCTTTCTGATTTGCTTACATCACAAACCACCAATTAAAACACTGAAGTGTTGGTTTTTGCTTTGCATATTTATTTTCTGATTTATTTTTTTGTCCCCTGCTTTCAATAAAAGTGGAGGATATTACTTTGGGTCTGTCCGTCCATTCCTCTATATATCTGTTGATCTGTAACACTTTTTTCAATGCAATATCTGGAAAAACTTTTGAGTTTTTGCAATGAACTTTTACATAACAGCACTCTTGGGCCTTTAGCAAACCCTATTGATTTTGAGGTGTAAATGACACAGGTGGTGAAAAGTCGAAGTCTCAAAGGGACTCAAACACAAGGCCTGTTGGTGTACTATGCCAGCACTATAACCACTGGGCTATTGAGAGAGATTGACTGACTTTCATATAGTGAAACGGTGATATAAATTGCCCCCTAGAATTTCATATTTTAAAATTTTCCTCATACTTTAATGAGTTAAAAAAATGCATTAAGCATATTCCAAGGGAATAGTGTTTTTTTGTTTTTTTTATTGAGTGCCAAATGTCACAGGTGGTGAAAAGTCCACAACTTTTCAACAATTTAATTGGTTTGTGTTTCAAACCAGGGTTCATGACATTCAGAATTTTTACAGAAGCACCATTGCTCATCATAACTATACAACATGCATAGTTTTATAGTTACTTGAATAATACCCATAGGCAAAGTAGGGGAACAAAAAATGCATTCAACTAATCAGCAATACACTGTAACTGGTAGAATTTCACAGTTAAACCATTATACCACATATTACCGTGTTGCAAAAAATGGTTTATTGAATAAGGTAGACTGTTTAGCCATTCCTCAATCTTCTGCTTTATAGTGTTTCAATTTTGTCTTTTAACCTGCTAAGCTTATCACAACTCCCTATTATAATATGCCCCCATTAAATTTCATGTTTACAACTGAGGCCTAGAAAAAAAATATGTTTGTTTCCGCTTTCCTGACCGACCCTAATTTATAGTGCCGACCCTAAATATTTTTTTAATGCTTTTGTCCCATGATGTGCAAGATTTCAACCAGGGAATTATAGCCTCCAACTTTTCAAGCTTTTCAAGACAGAAAGAAGTTTGGGTCACCTTTCTATTATAAGTTAAGTCACAGTAATGCTTGAAAACACCATTTCTTTTGTCATTAATGTTACTTCTATACACGTTTTGATTAAAGAAGCAAAAAAATTTTTTTCAAAAAAAAAAAAAATTGCCTACCTACCTACCCTATATTTTTTCAGCCTGAAAGCGGAAACAAACATATTTTTTTTCTAGGCCTGAGGCTTAATATTTAGTTAGTGCCCATTTGCATTATCATCATTACAGCTGTGACTGCATTTAGTATTGTACAAATGTAATATTTTTACCTTCCAGTTTTATTTTTTTCTGAACCAGGTACAAACTAATGAGTGTAATTTTTGGAAAGTGAGAAACTTTTACATTATATTTGAGAAAGTATAAAGAGATTGGATTAAACTTCTTCAATAAAGATAATATTATAAGTTACTAAACAGATTTTCATTGTTGTTATACATGTAGTTTAGAAAACAGAATGGAAAACATTAAAAATAACTTACATGCTTGTTTATTTTGATTTGGACAAATTAAGTATAAATAACATATGCATATTATGTGCACATGATGTATGAAACTAACCTGCCTAAATGGTAAATATAACAACTATATAATTATTTTTTAAAAGAAAAGAACTATTTTAATCAAGTTGAAAAATTTTTTGGACTTGAAATTTATTACTGGAGACAATATGACAAAAAAAATTAACATTTCACACATATAAGGCCTTATTACATGTAACTATATTTAAATTGATACAACTGAAATAAATGCCAGTTTGACCATTGTGTGTGTTTAATAAACTTTACAAGCACAATATAGAGTAATATATATATATGTGAAAAAAACTTCAACATTGATTGTATGATAGATAAAGTTCTTGTTATGAATTTCAAAAATGTTTGCAGACCAGTGTAAAATTTAATTAAAGTTTTTGTTTTTGAATGATAATAGTACATGTAATTAAATAATAGTTACTGTTATACATACTTATGGATTACTCCTTTTTTCTTTTATAAACAGGGAACATTTAAAATTACTACTCCAGGAGGAGATGAGTTATTTTTTCAAGCAGCTGGGAAACATGACAGGGATATGTGGGCTCATGCTGTTGGGGCAGTGATTCGGGCACTCAGTGGGTCTAAACAGGTATGTATTAAGGCAAACCTGTGGTATGTATAGTCAAGTGTGTACAATCAAACTTAGGAGTTTACCTAGGTGAAAAATTAGGTAAAGGTTTTACCTTCTATTTGTAGGACTCCCAGCAGCCTATCCCATTTACCTCATTCAGAGCTACAGCCAATGTCACGTACGTATTCCTTAAATTGAATTCTAGAATGATCGATATTGTAAAAGTGTAAAGATAAAACAGAATTCTAGAATGTTTACACTCAACATAAGTAGGAATTCTAGAATGTTCTCCGTATTTAGATAGAATGTTCTATCATTAAAATGATAAATGTCCTATGGACCCGGTTTAGAGGGCTTGTTCCGAGACACAGTTAGATTATTCAAACTATCCGTAATTGTACTCATTGAAATCTCCAAGGTATTCTCATTCCCTTCTTGTGCTTCATTTTAGAGGACTAAGAAAATTAGTTTTGAAAATTTGTTTTACTTTATTTCAAAACCAGAAACGCAACAAAATACAAAATAAAATCAGCTGTTAATTGATTAATGCTGCACATTGATTTTAAAATATTTAATTTTTTTTTCCATAACACAGTGAAATCCTGGGAGCCATGCAGGATCCAGATGCTGGGGTTAACCTGGGGAGTCATGTCCGTAATGGAGCTGTCCATAAAAACTGTTTCACAGGTATACATGATGACTTAAATCTACTGCATAAAGATCAGTGATTTGTGTGTGTTTGTTAATGTATTCATTTTCTCACCTTAATCATCTTAGCAAAACAGACCTGTTATGCTTTTTAGATTTTTTTTTTATCAAAGGAAGGGAGTGCTAAAGGCACACTTAGTAAATTATAAGTGTCGACATTCATTTGAGGGTTCCTTTGAGGTTTCTTTTCCCCATTCTCGTTTGATCTGCCACTTATTTCAATGAAATAAGATGTTCACCATCTCAGCTGCAACTATATGATGAATATCCCTATTTATATTACTGTGAAATCACAAATTTTAGTGGGGGTTTAATTTTCGTTGTTTTCGAGGTATGACGAGACCCACGAATTCGTGTCCACCACGAAATGTAAAATGTTACATACATAAGTATTCATTAATTCATGATCCACTAATTCAAATCCCCATGAACCAAGAGATTTTCCTCAAACCACGAAAATTTGACCCCACGAAAATATGTGATTTTACAGTATATAAACAAGGAAAATTACAAAATTCAATACTGTACACTTTGTATCAATGGGACATATATAAAATTGTTTGCCTCTCTTAGTGCACATTACTGAGCTGACAAAAAACGCACACACATAGTCACATACAAACATATATGCCAGGGATTTATCTAGCTATTTTGTTTTACTACCGTTTTATATGTAAAGGGGAAAAATGAGAGCCGCAGGCTCGATCTGAGTGCCGGAGGCGCGCAATAAAGGGGGGTCCATTGATTTGGGGCATGCCCCCCCGGAAAATTTTTAAATAAATGGAGCAAAATCCTGCATTCTTAGAGCTTCTGAGGGTCATTTGTGGACCTTTACAAAGGCCACAAAAACTTCACTTTTTGGGCAAAATACTAAATAACACACACACAAAAAAATTTAACCAGGTCAGGACTTTATTTAATTTTTTCTCTAAATATCTATCACAAATCAATTCTGATTTTCATGTTTCACTACTAACATTGTTTTTGTTGTTACTCCATTCTTCCGATTCATAGTGATATAAGCTCCATCTTACTCATCTACACTTTTCTTTTTAACTCTGCAATCACACGCGTATCTTTCGACATCATGGACTTGGCACATGTTTACCGATCAATATCAAATAAAAGCTTGAATAATATATTCTTATATTTTAAAAGCGTTTGAATGACTAGGATGGTAAATTTGTAAAACTTCAATGGGAAAATTTCAGAATGATGTTTTAAAATTAATCGGAGAATTTGCATCTCTTGAAAAAGGGGAATTTTTGCACCTTTTTCAAGAGGGGAAAGGTACCGTTTACCGGTAGTAAAAACAGCCTTGATAAATCCCTGTATGCAAACAATCAAAGCTCCTAGCCAATTAAAATTCCCTACTGGAAAACATCTGTATGCTGGCTTCATATTCATTGGTTGATTAGTTTGGTGCTTCAGTGGTTTTGCCAATGTTAAAACACCTTTAATCTACATTACCAGGCAGTGCTGTGGTTGACTGGCTAGTGAGGTGGTCAATCATCAGAAAGAGGGACGACGGCTCGGCCATGATACAGACCCTGCTGAAACTAGGTCACGTTCAGGAAGTGGACATTAATGATGGGGCACTGGGAGCCTCGAAAAAATTCAGCGATGGAGACAAACTGTATCGATTTGTAAGTTGTGTTTTATTTAAACTTGCTTAAAATTAAAGGTTTTTCTGATCACAGTTTATTTTGTGTTTGTCCAGACATCTTCTCAAAAACAATTAAATCAAGATTAGTCATATTGGTATGGAAACATTCTTGGCATTGAAGATTCAAGTTTGTTTAAATCATAACTCCTGGGGGTAGGGTGGGACTGCAACAGGAAATTTAAGTTTTTATATATAAGGAAGAAAACTGCTGATGAAGAACAGTAGGACCAAATTAACACAGGAGAGTAAAATGGTCCAAGAGCTCCTGGTTAAAAAAAAGTGTTTGTATTACCAGCTCAAGTCCATTTATCTAAAGTATAAAAAGAATAAATACGAAATAAAATTATTTTTTCAACTTGTAGAAGTAATTGAACAGCAGAAATGAATGTCTTACCTTTTTTTAAACAAAAATTTTCATTTTATGCTTAAATATGACTTTAAAAGGGTTGAGACAGTGAAGATGTTTGTTATATTCTACATAATCAAGAGGGGAACTAATTTTAAATATATCAGAGGTTATTGTATATCACTGTATATATCATGTGCCTGCATTTTTTAATGTAGTCCTCATTAAACCTTGGTGCCAAGAGGAACAGTTACTATGACAGCACAGACAGTGAAACCAGCTCTTCTGAGGATGAAGAGGACGAAACTCAGGAAAACAAGCTTCGAAAAGGCAAAGTTCTCAAGGCATCCTTCCTGGCTAAAAAGGTAAGCTTACTAAAGGCAAAGTCCTCAAGGCATCCTTCCTAGCTAAAAAGGAAAGATAAACAATGGCAAAGTCCTCAAGGCATCCTTTCTGGCTAAAAATTTAAGATAAACAATGGCAAAGTCCTCAAGGCATCCTTCCTGGCTAAAAAGGTAAGATAAACAAAGGCAAAGTCCTCAAGGCATCCTTCCTGGCTAAAAAGGTAAGCTTGATAAAGGCAAAGTCCTCAAGGCTTCCTTCCTGGCTAAAAGGTAAGATTAACAATGGCAGAGTCCTCAAGGCATCCTTCCTGGCTAAAAAGGTAAGATTAACAAAGGCATCCTTCTTGACAAAAAAGATTCTTTTTTAATAAACTAACTAAGGTAAAAGTCCTCAAAGCATTTTTTTTTTTTTTGCAGAAATGATAAGCTTTACAAAAGCAAACTTTTAAGTAAATTGTTATTTTTTTTTTATAGAAAAGTATCAGAAAAGATTGGCGAATTGTCAGGGTTACACTGAGAGAAAATCCACCCTCTATTGAATATTCCAGGGTTTTGGTAAGTGATTGATAAAAACGGTGTATATAAAATACCTTATATGTATCTGTTAATGCACGAAAATAATTATGCTGAAATATGTACATTTGTAAATGTTTCCCTTTACATTCAAAGAATACACGTCAGGTTCTTTGAATGTCATAAATGTTCAATGTAATTTTTCATTGACATCATAATGGGTCAAGATGCATCCAACAGATTACATATATGCCACTGAGTTTGAAAAATAATACATCGTGCATTAAAAGTCATAATCAGGCAAATATTAAATATGAATAAGTCACAAATGTAAATATAAGTAATAGGGTATCATTTTAAAACATCTATCCGGCTATAAATACGGGTTGGTATGAGATCAAATTCACCATAAAGCCCTTTGGGCTTTATGGAATTTGATCTCATGAGCAACCTGTATTCATATCCCAATAGAAGTTTAAAAATGATACCTTATTTCCTTATAATGTTATTTTACACAAGTATGTATACATGTATTTAAGAATGCGTAGTCTACAGTAATAATGTACTTGTATCTCATTTATTGGTTTCTTTAAAAAAAAGTTTAAATGAAAGTCATAAAAATGACTCAAAAAAGTATGTTGCTAGAGTGTGAGTGAAAGCTAAAAACTTAATAACAAATTGATTACATGAAGTGCTTCTCACCGAGTTCACAGGTGTGTGAAAGTCAGTCAATTTATTATATGATTGAATAATTTCCATCTCTCTGATTGGCTGAGATCCAACTATGTTAGAAAAATACTACTTTGTATTGACCTGCACATGACGGTCAAGGTCAATACAAGGATTTATTTCCTCTACATTGATCTAAAAATAGATTGGGAAATTCCAAATTGATACAAATTGTTTAATAAAGCTATTTAAACGACTGTGATTTTTTTTATGTGAAAAAACATAAGTGAATATATATTTTAGTGTGAGGGTGGTAAGAGGGGATGCAGGGACCCCCTCTAACACTTTTACTGAACAACATTTTTTTTTTTTTTACTTTTTGGCAGTCAGTTTTCCCCGATAATACTCCTTCCTTTCAAAATCTATCCTATAAAAAGACTGACATTATATTATTTTTTCATGGCAACTAAAATTGATTTTAAGAAATCCATTTCAAATTGATACGACTGGTAAGGTTTATTCTCACATTTTAATTCTGTTTCTCTCTTGTATTTGGCTAAGACTTAATTAAATGCAAGTTAACACGTAATGAGCTGTATCATTTTATCAGTGAATCATATAATAAAACAATCATTGTTATTTTTTCGGTCAATACAATGATTTAGCCATCTAAAAAATATACACCTCGCCCTTGATTCATGAAGTGGTAGTACTCACCAGGCTTCACATTGTGTGACCTCAAAAAACAGCAATAATTGTATAATATTGGGTCTCAATAACTCGGTTAGTTAGGCCAATGGCACTGTACACCAGAGGCCCTGGGTTTGAGTCCCGGTTGAGACTTGATTTTTCACCACCTGTGACATGCTCATTACAACTTTTTCAGCATGATCACACCAAAAGGGGAAAAATAATTGATGTGGAAGAAGTTAATACAGAGGAGGCTAAGAATGATTGCCTTGGTAAGAAGTTATACTATGAAAAATAAACTGAGCTCCTCAGGAATCTTAATGGCTTGAAAGTGGGGGGGAGGGTTGAATCTAGCATTGATTTAACTTAAATTAATGAAATTCTGCATTTAATTCCCAGTGAAGAAGTTACTAGAGTTTTGGAATTTGGATTAATGAGACATGTTAGTTTGCCATGGGCCAATGTTTTGCTTTGTATTAATTTGAGTTAATTCGAAGTGCTAAATAATGAGATGGATTGCAAATTAGTATTGACAAAGAAAGTCTGATTTATTTTTTATTTTGTACAGAAATAGAAATTTTGAATAACAATAGCTTTTTTGTGTCTATTTGAAAAGTTTGTATATATACATATTTACCTCATCTGATGATACAGTATTTTTGTCAACAGCTTGTGGACAGGATGCTGCAGAAACGGCCAGGCTGAAAAAGAGAATTGTCCTAAAGGACCGCAAGGGGAAATGCTACATCTTCAAAACCAAGGATGAACAGGAAAAACTAGAGTGGCTTCCCCTTTTACAGAGTCTCAGCAGAAAGGCCTCAGCTGCTCAATAATGGATGCCAAAAACAACCAGGATTCTGAACAAAATTAAAGTCTTATAACCAGAGAAGATTCACAAATAACTGTTAATGCTCAGAAGTTTTATTGGTGCATTTATCTTTTTTTTTTAATTTTATAGGTAGATCAAAGTATGGTGTCAGTTTTTTTGTTTTTGTTTTTTTTTGGTTTTGAAAATTTTCATTCTTAGTTATCTTTAAAAAATCATTGATTTTTTGTTTGAAAATAAGATTTATTTCTCATGAATCCTTATTTTAGCAATATACATAAAACAAGTGCATATTTGGCTAATAGAGCCTAATTTTTTCCCTACTGAAATAAATCTAGTACAATTTTCAGTTAACCTTGCACTTTCATGGGGGCGTTACTCTTTCAACATTACGAAATAAGCATCTCTCAAATGGCGAATAGATTCTTATTGGTTAAGAAATTAATAACATCAACAACTTTAAATTTTTGTTGATAACGATGAGAAGACTTTAGCCCCACCACTGTTCTATATGAGGCATCATCATTGGATCATTTCTACACTCGCTGACATTCGCTGGAATGTATATTTCAACTGTGAATGAAAAGCTGTGTAAATTTTAGACGCTAACTAGGTAAAGTCAAGAATACCACGTCTTACTGAAAGTCTAAGGTTGACAGAGAATTGTACCAGCAATCCAGAAAAACCAAAATAAATTTTTCTAATCAATTAAGACAAGGAAGCTTTTGAATAGTGTAAATGTTTTTAAAACAAAAATGTAAAATTAGAATTAATTACATACCCTAGAATACAAATAGGATCGTATATAAAAATTTTTTTTTTTTTTTTTTGCTGAAAATGTTTTTTATATAGATGTTATATAAGGCTTTTATATGTCAGAAAATATCATTGAATATGATGCTTCTTAAAACTGAATTTTATTGAAATACCAAGTTTAGTCAAGTTAATGATCAGAGTTGGTAACCAAGATTTTTTCTACATGTTATTGAGGAAAGTTGTTTTTTTTTTTTTTTTGTTGTTTTTTTTTTTATCTCACTTGAGCCAATATTGCTGAATTTTGTGTGCAACACATTCTTCTATAAAACTTGACTCCACAATACCTTTTGTTCCAATTCAGCCAAGCATGATTATCATAGTTAAAAATGCATATTTGGATTAAGGAAATTTAAATATTCATATAAAATACTATACTCTTGCAAATTCATCTCCTACAGTGTGTATATTTTAAAACAAAAACTATATTCAAGCTTTTAAATAGAACGGAGAAAGATAGTTTGTGGCCACAATATACTAGTATACTCAAGAGAGCATTATTGCCCCTGCCTTTGAATTTTTCCCTTTTATTGCATACTGTTGAATCATTTTTGCTCATTGGGAACCAATGTTCATGGATTTTGTGATCATCCATGTCCACAAACATACATATCCACAAAGTAACATCCCCATAAACAATTTTTGTATTTTTTAAATTGCTGTAAATGTATAACATTTAGCAGTGTATTCTTTTCAGCGCTTTTTCATGCAATGAAGTTTCCGCTAATTCAAGTACAACACTACCGGTAAATGCCTTGCACATATTTAAATTAATTATAAAAACATAAAGAAATGTGCTAAATCAAATCCATGCTAAATTGTTCAAAAGTCAATTTCTGACAAATATCGTACACACTAAATACATGTATAAAACATTTACAGGATTTGAATAAATAGAATAACATTCCCACCAACCAACAAAATTTTGTTTATCCATGATTATTGACCTTCACTAATTTAAAAAATGATTTTAAGGTACGTAGTTCAAAAAACCTTTAAGCAGTTGGTATCTTTGATAGGATTTTACATTGAAAACATTGTAGTAAAGCCTCTTAAGTGCTATTTAATCCATAGAAAATTTGGAAATTGCTAGACTAGTATACTTGAAATATGTTTGATTTAATCTATCCTATCTTCAAATTAATGAATACATCTCACCAAGCAAATAACCAAAATAAGTCTGTTTGTCAGTAGTCATGAAGTTGCACTGATTCATCAAAGCTATGTTCTTGTGTTGTTGTGATTTATTTTTTCTCTGCATTACCATATCAAATGGGATTACCAGGTCTCTGAATGCATGTGTATTAACCAAAATAAATTTTACCTTTTCATTAGATAAAAAGTAACTGTTACATGTAGTAGTAATAATATTCTAACAAACCAGCCATGTATAAATAAATCTTGCATGAAGAAAGTGTAATTGTCATGATATGTAGTGCATGTACGTTATGAACAAAGAAATAACAAAAAAATAAAAGGTAGATCAAAATAATAAAAACACCACAACATGTTAAATTTCTACATGTACATTATTATTGTATGAAATCTTTATATGTGATACACATTTATACATTGTATTACAGGAAGTCTTTCAGTATGTCTTTCATTTCACTTTAAACAGTACTTAAATAAATATATGGCTATATTATATTATCAAGTACATGTAAATGAGATATATGTTATTTCAGATAATCCTAAAAATGTGGATGTACTCACAGAATTAGATTTCACTTCTAATATCTACTTCGACTGCTTAACCTCATATCAATATTTACCTTTTTTCTCTTCATATCTGTTTTAGTGTACATGGATATGTTTCATTTATTTCAAAGAGAAGACGGTGTTATTCTGGATGTTTTTTTTTTTAATGTTTTTTAATTGTTTTGAAAATTATGCCTCCTTATAGTGTTAAATAGTAAGAAATAAACTAATTTGGCAGGAATTTAAGATGCATCATTGTGAAAAACTTAAAAGGACACTGAAATATTTCATGTATTAAATGTACATTTAGAAATTTTTTGAATGGGATTATTTTATGTTTTTCTGCATAAATTTATGATGGAAATTTTTAGAAAATACATTTAAGGTTTTAAAACCCTCTGCTCACTCATATAAAAAGTTGCTTGAACCTTAATGAATTTCTAAAAGAATTGTATTTTATAAGTAAAATACAAGCATTTAAAGCAAAGCTTGTGGGGTAAAATTGGACCAAAAAGACACTTCAACTTGACAAATCTGTAAAGGGGTAATAGACATATATGTCATTAAGAGTTATCTCTCTTATCAGCAGTATCAATGAATCTTTTAACCTTAAGACTTGCATTGACAAATGAGAGTTTCTGTGTAATTTCCCATCCACATATGAAACAGATTATCAATCCTTAGAGTTATCTTGCCATGGAAGAAATTATAAAATTATTCACCATATTAAAATTTTAAAATCCCAAGCACAATCACACCGTATGTATATAATATAAGCAGTACTGGATGCATTTGATTAATAATAATATGACAGATGACTGTTAAAATTACTGTATTTTACTTCTTGTTCTTTTTTTTTTGCCTTTAACAAATGCAGAAATCCTTTTATATATATAGTTTGCAGTATTGATATCACTGAGTTATCCATTTTTCTCTTCTTATGTTATACCATACTCAGTTGTATTTGTTTTTATATTTTATGCTGTTAAAATGCCTTTTTTTCTCTGTGTAAATGGATGGTGCATATTTCTGGTGCTTATTGTTTACGGTAGCAACGGGAAATTATTGTAACTGTTTGTATTGCTTTTATTTTTATTGTTTGTATGTGTATATCTTTTGTTCTCTAGTTATGCACCAACATTCCCACATACATGTACGTTTGCATTTTATATGCTTTTAAAACACATGTGTTCTATAGCGTGCAATTATTATAGTAGAATTCATTGAAGGTGCTTTAAAGGTTTCCCCCCAGAGTATTGAAATAACACAGCTAAAAGACCCAAGAAAGTAATTCTTTGAAGTATGATTACATAATAATTAACATAAGAAATACTTATGCTAAAATAAATGTAAAAGATTTTACTATTTGTCATTATTTACATAAATTTACATTTGAAAAAAATGCATTAGTTATTCATTGAATCAAGTTCAACGTGTCTTGAAAAGAAAAAAGATAAATTTTGATAGCATTATTAAAACTGAATTTCACATTGATGAATTATCAGCGGAACATTTGGTTTAAATTGATGCTGAATTTCATTCAGATTAAAAATTCAATTTGTTTTTAAAAAGTATATTTTTACAACATCACAGCAAGTGAAATTCTTTGCTTTTCACTTACAAATTATGATCAAAACTATGAAAGGGTTTTATCATTGCAGACCCCTCCCCTTCCAATTTTAATCTTTGCAGACCCCCCTCCCCCCTCCCCTCAAATTTTGAATTAAACTAGGTTATAGTTAGTAAGTGCAAAATGTGGGTTAAACTTTTTAAATCATGTTAATAGCCAAAATGGGGAAAAAAAACATACTGCTTTCAAATGCTTAATTCTTGCCTTTTTTTAATCAGAATTGTAAAACTATGAGAACATTTAAAATGCTTGATTTTTTTTAATTTTTTTTTTTTTTTGGGGGGGGGGGTAGCTTTTGAAGTAGGAAATTGATTAAATATTTTAAAAGATAACATATTGTTAGAACAGTGACCCGTTACATGTAGTAGGCAAACACAGTTTGAAGACATATATGTTGATACACTCTCTGTATTGTTAATTACAGTTAAGGTACTTAGTCTATGCAATCAGTTTGAATTAAATTTGTGTATGTGTAAAATAAAGAATATTAGACAAAACAATTTGAAGTTATTTTTTTTATTTTTAAGCTTGAAAACTTCAAATATTTTTTAAAATATGTTCATTATAACTATATTTATTTTTTATATATAAGAATGATATATTCCCAGCTGAAAAAAATTGAGAAGATGAGAAGAATTTTTTTTATTTTCTAGTTACCGTTTGCCAAAAACTTTTCCTAAATATACCGACATCAAAAAATGCACTATACAACAATTTTATTTCATCATCTAGAAAGTACACTGCACAAATAAATAAATGAATAATTTATAAGCTGCACTGAATGTTAATAAGATATGCATTTAATGAGTTTACTAATCTTTATAATGTTCAGGACAGTTGGCTCTGGTTCGTCACAGATTTTAAAGTACATCATCAACTTTTGATTTATAGCATGACACGTGACCTCGTATGCTAATGCGGCCATGATGATGCGCATGTTTTCGTTGAGTGACTATATAAAATGACGGAATTGAAGAAAATGAGAGGAACATTTTTTTAACACAGAGTTTCTGGAGTTCATTTTTTTGTATCTGTGATTGTTTCTCACCTTACTCTTCGTAACATTCCCTCAATTAACTGAATAAATTTTGACACATATTTTTGCCAGTAAAAGCTTGGAAGTTTTAAATGTTTTTATTAGCTTACATTCACCTCTCTTATGGTACAGATACATGTACATATGTTTGCCTTGATAACTTCAAATAGAGTTACAAGCCTTCGATAACCTAATGGCATTTATCTTTTAAAAATTATTAATTCAGTGGTCAACATGAACATTTGATTGAGGCAATATTTGAAAACTTTATATGCAAACTAACCAACCAAAAAACAAGTCTCAAAGTGATATCATGTAAAATATTGTTGACATATTTAAAAATATACAATTATCTACAGTATCGACAAGGAAATGATAAAATCTCTCTTGAACAGTTTCATTCACACCACACAATACACAATATATGGTTTCTCAACAAACCATGCATAAAATCTGAGGATATATATTTTTAATATTATAAATTAACTGCATGTTAATATGGAATACTTTGATGCTTTTTAGGCATTATTTTCCTCAAACTTCGATCTACAAGAAGAAAATTAGAATTAATATGTGCCCAACATATTTTAATTAATGAAAAAAATAATCATTGACTGCATTATCAATATATCTATATTAAGTTAATTTTATAATCTTTTGTTACTCTTTAGTAAAACTATTTTTTCCTTTTCTTAAATACTTTGTTTAGAATAAATTAAAACTTACTCCTGAAGATCGGTTTTCTCAATTTTTATATAATTTAAGAAATGTTCTGATTTATCAATCTTACTGAAAATTAAAGTTATACAAGGATAAACATGATAAAAGGATCGAGAAATATTTGTTTGATCTATAACCTTGTTAGAAGAACACCCATTTAACCCCAAGGTAAACATATAAGCTAATTTCTGTTTCTGTATGATTTTAGGATAACTGTACGTCGACAATAATTTTTTAACAGTTTTGGTCCCTAGGTTATGTTATAATGTTGTTGGTCCCTAGCTTATGTTGACAACAGTGATCTTGTTTTTTTTAACTGGCCTTCAGTCAAGGTGTGAGAAAATGGACTGAGAACAACATAAAAACAAAATCTACAAATAATACAAATATGTGAAACGTGCTTAAAACACGGACCCCTAGGAAATTAGGTATCTGTGTGTAAATGAGGAGTAATCATAATGGTCATTTAATGGACCCTATGCATTGACCTGGCATACGAAATAATCCATTGTCTAAATTAGTAAAGAAATCATGGCCTAGCAATTGATAGTCAAAATATATGACCCAATGATATATAATTTTTTTGCAAACAGGGTTATTATAATGACAATTTAATTTTTAAATGTTGCCTTAATATAATGTTTTTAAAGTTTCTGCAATATCAGCTTATTTGTTAGTTGTTGCCTCCCTTGGTTTGAAAATTGATCAAACTTTTTTTTTTGATTAAATAAGTTTGAATGAGAAAAAAACATATTTAATTGATAGTATAATTTACTGCATAAAGAAAGTCGTTGACAATAGAGAAGCTGAAGCAATCTCCTTTCTCACACAGTTTATTTTCAATTGTCCATTTGCCGAGTTCAAGTAAAACTTTAAGATTAAAATAAACGTATGAACTCTCCACCCACAATTTCTGTTATCGAACACAATTTTTTATGCAGATCTATAAAGTACTAACCTGTGATAACCTAACATCTTTGAGACCTGGTTCAGTAGATTGCATTTTATCTTCTTGTTTACTTAACGTTGGTTCCTGGCGTTGATTAGTTGTTGTCACGGAAGGTGAAACTTAATAGAAAACACTAGAATTAATGAGTTTTAGAAAAAAATATTGATGAAGAGAAGATATGTATCCAGATATTCCAAGTTATTTGATATTGCAACTTACAACAACATATTTGATATGTTATTTTTTGGAGTCTATAATAAACTTTTTCTGCTTCAAATTTTTAAAATTATTACCTATAGATGCTGCTGCTGTTGAAGACTCGGTTGTCATTAAGACTTGTGTATCCTGTTCTATAAGTAATACTAGTATTCATTTAGTTCAATGAAACATAGCTAGAATATGTTTAGCATTGTACGTATTCTTTATTACTGCAGTATGATTTCATATACTTTTCGTGATTCGTTGATGAAAAAATGTTTGTTCAAAGTAAAGGTTTTGTGGTTAGAATTTTCAAGATTTCTGTGAAGTTCATTATATGATTTTATAATGATTATATTTTTTGTCCACATACATGTATAGTAAAAATATATCAATGAAAAAGAGAAAAGGTGTTTGACAATTTTGTACTGTTTAATGGATCTTTGAAAAAGAGAATAAGGTTATCTCCATATATTTCATAGATTTTGCAAATACGCATGTTTGTTTCTATGCCTTGTAAAAGGATGAAATCCAAGTTCTTTATTCACCACCTTCTACTTTTTTTCCTGTTACCAGGGTATCATTTTTTTTTTTAATTTTGTAATTAATATAATTTTAATATTTTGCTTAAATGATCATATAAGGCTTAAAATGTTGCGAACTGTCGCAATTTTAATGTATCTTCTAGAATTTTGATGATGTACATCTATAATCTAGAATGTTCTTTATGTTACGAGAATGAATTATCAAGAAGTCTCTAGAATATGTCAGAATGTGATGACCTAGAATTTTATAGAAGTTTCTATTTCCAGATGTTTCTTCAAACTAAATATATGAGAGTTTCTGTGAGAAAATAACAGTTGAGTTTACATTGAGTTTAGATTGAAGACATATAATTTATATCATATCAGAAACCATCTGATCATCTTAGCCAATGTGGTATTGTGATTGTTAACCCTTGTGGATTTGTTTTGCCTTTAATTTTGTAATAAATTATAAATTTTAATATTTTGCTTAAATGATCATATAAGGCTTCAAAGCACTAATCTTTTTTTTAAACTTTCAAAATCTTTAATTATTACAATGAAATATTTATTTGACATGTACAGGAATCAATTATTTCATTAGATAGCAAAACTTTAATTATATACCAAATTTCTAATTTAAAAAATCAGATAAATTCACTTTTTTTGCTGTGACATGAAAAAGAAAATAATGCTCACTTGCAACGCAAGAAAATATTATTGATATCTTTATCTGTCTCTCCTTTGAGGTAACCAAAGCATCAAATTCTGAGAAACACCCAAAAAGAGAAAAAATAGTGAAATACTTACTTCCATGTTCCTCGGCTTTTTTAACGTATGATATATCTGCAAATAAAGGATTTCTGCGGAGATGCATTTCATTTGAAAAGAATAATTCATATTAATAATAATGATAATGGTAGGTGCAAATTTTAAAACAAAGCAGTAATAAAACAAAGCTTTTTAACATGTGCAGTTGATGCTGACCTAGTTTATTTTATCTCAGGAAATTGTTAAAAATAAATATTTCAAACCTGCTGCGAGTTGCGGCATACTAAGATGATTATCAGATGAAGTTGAATCGCTGCCATCTGTCCGAAAAATATTTTAAAGTGAAATACTCACTATCTACTAGTTTATTTATAATACTAGTATTGGATTGCTGATGATAAATAAATGAAGAAAAAACTAACAAATATTACAAATTTTTCATTAAAATAAGAATATTGATGTTCCCTACAATTGAGGCGAAATATTCAATTTGCATGATTCCACTTTTTAATCGTATCATAGGAATCCGAGAAACATTTAGAAAACTGGCTATTTGTACTGTATTTGTAGAAATACGGGTAAGTATAATTAACATCACTTACTGGGAAATTGACCATGTGATGGTGACTTCACGTTATTGACTTTATTTTTCACAAACATGTGTCCTTCGATCGATCCATAAAAATCTACAAAATTGAAAAATATATAACCAGGTATACATACATTTCTAACTGTATACAAGAACTTCATAATAAGTAAACATTTTTAAAAAAATTATTATAATGCTGATTTTCATTAGTTTTCTGAGTTCATTTTGAAAGTATTTGGTTTGCTTGTGTTTTGATCTTCCAGATGGTGGTATTATGAGACACAGTTTAAATACGAATGCATAAAATGAAGATGAAGAATGCGGATGTTTGATGGTAACCATGGTAAACTATCAATATCTGACCTACTGAAGGCGGCGGTTCCATATCTTTGTTGAATTTTAACTTTTTCCAACTTTCAATCGCTGGTCCCATTTCCTTTAAGCTGGTTAACGCTAAAACAAAGACACTTGCAAAACTATATCTTTTACAATCAATGTGATTCAAAACAGTTCTAAGAATAAAGGATAGCTTTTTAATTTAACATTAATTGATTTAGGAATAAAAATACTTACTTACTTCGCCATTTTCTGTAATTAAATATCAAGTGCTTAATTTAAACAGTAAAATAGGAATATAATTATTAAGTTTGCTTTATAAATCAATCATCGAAACTGAATCTATTGATCAATAAATCAGTCAATTATTTATTATGCAAATTTTTATAAAGTTATGGAAATTATTCAATTCTACTCTGTTCGTAGTTCAAAATATTTCATTGCACAGAAATAGTAATCATCCTGTAGGTATGACCTTCCTATTTATATAAACAGATGATTTTAAAGTATTTTTTATGGTTACAAAGAACAAATGTTCATACCATGATATGTTAAGTTATTCTTCTCAATTATCCGTTCAATCTTTGGTTGTTCGTCAAACGAGTATTCTTTCAGTTGAACGACTATGCCTTCCGTCCCATCTGCATCAAAACAGAGATTAAAGTTAGAATAATTTCAAAGGAATTTAAATCTTCATGTGTTTTTGAATAGGTATTAAACATGAAAAAAAATTCTTTCAGCTTTCTTGCAGAACACTATACATCCTAGTTTGTTTCTGCTTTATTACTCTTTAGAACTGTAAGGGGTTTTTTCTAGCAGGGAAATGGAATGACCGTGTCATTGAAAAGACCTATTGACAGTTTTTGAGTCTATTTATATACTCTGCACTGGTTATGGGTAAAAGTTTGACTGTAAAAGGATGATAAGCAAATTCAAGCTTTCTTTCCCTAAAATGTGTGAACTTTTTTGTATATTTATTCCCGTACTATTATCAAAGATACAGGAATAAATAGTTTTTTATGCATCCTTTAGTCTTTCTACTGGCTATCTGTCTGTCTGTCTGATCTTTGAAGTTTGATGTAAAATTTAAAAAATCATGAACAGTGATCAGTCTATATAAATGAAAGAAATTTTGAACATGGCAAAAACTCGATAAACCAGAAGTTGGATCAAGTTCATTGAAGGAATGGGTATCCCCTACTGACGACCACATCCGTCGCAAGCCACGTTTTGATCAGGTACGGAGTACTCAGTAGTTTGATCTTAGTATAAGAGAAATGACGTAACAAATTGTACACAAAATTCAAACTCCTTTTATTGGAAAAATCCCATGGCCATGTTGATAGTGTTTTCATAATTCACTTCATAATTCACAGGATTTTCCTTTTGACAAGTCCATTTTAGGTACCATTTTTTAACCCTTATCCTTGACTTTGAATTTGACAAACATTTGCTTTCGAAAAACTTGAAAATTGACCTTGAGCAGCCATCGTAGTTCAACAGACGACACTTGTTTTCAAATATTATATGAAATCATTTACCATCAAAAGTAGTAAGCTCCAGTTTGTATAAGAATATGGTTTCTTATTCATATTATTCATCGTTTATTTATTCATTAATTATGATCATTTTTAATTTCAAACTTGTACTTATACATGTTATATAATGATAAAATAAATGTAAGACAACTCACTTTTTTCAGATCCATCTGAATCTATTTCAGGCAACTGAAACGCAGAATAAAGTAAAAGATATTTTTTTAACCCAACATCAGCGGGAACAAAATGGATCCAAACACAATTATAAATCCTCAGGGTCAAACATAAGTCTAGACGATATCAACCTACTTACCGATTTTGATCTAATAACAACAACAAAACAACAACACAAAAACAATCCGTATGTCCTTTTCGTTTCCATTACAAAAACGGTAGCAATTTTTAAATATTATTATTATGCTTTCAGCTAGGACACAGTAATAATTCCAAGTATCTGCTTATACTTGTAATCAGACCTAATTCGTGATATAAGATTCATCATATCACATGTTGTGTCAGATCTTGCATTTATAATTATTAAACGTATTAAGTTATCGTACCAATCATGTCTGAATGTATACTACAAGAAATGGAGGAATTGATTGTTCATTCATGACTTTGATTTACAATCCGGAAATTAAATTATGAAATATTGCAAATTAAATTCAAGGTATAAATAGAAATATAAAAAAAACTATTAAATCCTTAGAGCATGACAAAGTCAATATATAAGGTTTTTCAAAGACCACATACCTTGAAAATCTTCCGTTTGCTTTTTTTCTTTTCTTTTTTTTAATTTGCAATTTGATTGGAACACAATTTGCACAGCAATAAATATGACTTTTAAAAGATCTCTACAAGGCTTCGCACAAAATACTTACACACAAAATATTATTATATTAAAATTGCAAGCTTACATGTAATAAAAACAAACCAAATATACCATGCATCTTTCTTGCTTTATTCACTATAAAAACAATTAATGAGTTTCAAGGAACACATATCTTGCATACAATAGCAATAAATGACAAGTTGAGAGTTTCAGAAATGTCATAAACATTGCAAAGTACAGGTGAATTATAAATGCTACTATATGCACATGTGTATGCATTTGTTAAACGGGCGAAGTGACAGTCAATAGACCAACCATTTTTATTATTATTAAAGGCTCCATTATACAATTTATTAATTGGAAAACACATACTTTGTTCAAGGAAATTCTTTAACACTAAAGATAACCCCACATCAAAAAAACAAATAAATATTACACATATATTGTACATGCATATGAAATTTAAGTACATACTTGTGTTACGATTAGACGCCATTTTAGAATTTAAGCTAATTGAATTACGTAAGTACGTAAGAGACATAAGTGTTTGTTTCCCATTAATCACACAAAACTCAATTTATAAAAATACAATTTTAAAAGGAAGAAATCCATATATTTTAAGAAATAAATAATACTTTCATTTCTGCTGAAATTGTTTTACGTTTTAAAGATAGAGAAACATTTTTTCGACATTCACCACAATAAATTTCGTATGATACACGTATATAAGCATCGAAAGAGAACAGTTTCGAATTCTAATCTATCACTTTAACAAAACACTTTTTTAACATGATTAATGTTCAAACTTATAAAAACATACTGAAATGCTTTAAACAGTTTTGTTAATCGTCATATTCATCATCCGAATCATCGTTGTAAGTTTCTTCTCTCTTTGCAAATGCCAGGAAGTAGGGCTGTCCAGCTACATCCCAGAAATCTGCCGGTTTTGTGTATTTCCCACCAGGATTTCCTCTGATTATGATTTTCTTCCCGTCATTTTTGGTTGTAAATCTCCAGTCTTCGATTTTCTTCGTTGATCGCCAAATCTCAAATACCTTTGAGTAATCATTCAAGGAAAGCTGTTTCAAAACCCAGAGGCTTCTGTTGTTTCTAGCATAGTACTTGTTTGGTTCTTTGTACTCAGCTTCTTCCATGTTCTTTAAAATGTAGTCTAGATATTCCTTTTTGCCTTCAATTATTGCATCCAGTACGGCTCCTATCTCTTTGTCTTTTAGTATCCCCATTGCAAATTTATTTTTGACTGAGTCCTGTGAAAAACTTACATCCCTAAGGGGATCAACTTTAACCTAATAGGTGAAAGAAAAATAATTATGATTTACACGTATTTCGCTTTTATTGTTAATATCCAATACATGTACGAGGGTTGTCCAAAAAGTTCGTGGACAATGACGTTTTTGTTAGAATAAATGGTTCCATATGCATCTATTGTATATCAAAATATTTCTTATGAAAAACCAAGTAAGAATGAATTATTTTTTACTGATAAAACTTAATATTTTTGAAAACAAATCGGGGTCTTTAAAGATCGCAGATTGTGCGCACGGACCAGTCTGACGTTAAGCTTATTTTATTATAACGTCGAACATTTGGATTTTGACTTAACACATGTTCTTGGACACACATTACATTTCTTTTTTAAGGAGTAACGCACTTCTATGTGCTAGCAATAATCTTTAGGTATAGATTATAATTTATTTAATTTTTAAAATTCAGAACAATGCACAAAAATTTACGAGCGCCATCTAAATAAACAGTTTGTATACACAAACTGCACAGCCCAGTCCGACGCTGCGCTAGATTTATAACAACGTCATGTATAGAAATCTCCATTTTCAGTAAATCACATGTGTTTTTAAATTCTTGTATTGTCTTCAAATTTGTACGCACCGTTGAAAAAATCGTATATACCAATCTCAAAACAATACACTAAATGTATTTCAATAATTTTGAGTTGTTTTAACAAATATATTCAACCAAATTAGAACAACCGTCTCTTTTTTTGCGAATGACACATATTTGTTTGGGTTTTTGTTTAATATTTGTACTGTCTATATAAGTAAACGATACTTAAGATATCATAAAATGATTATAGCCTCTTTATTTGTGTTACATAAATTTTTTATTAATTTTTGACTTGTTTTATTTAAAAATAATCATTTTAATCCGAATACTTTATATCAGAGTTTGTGTCATTTTAACCTTGTTCCGTGCGCACTATCTGTGATCTTTAAAAATCCTGTTTTTTACAGAAATATTAAGTTTCATCAATAAAAATTAAATCATTCTGACTTGTTTTTTCATAAGAAATATTTTGATATAGAATAGATGCATATAGAACCATTTATTTTCACAAAAACGTCATTGTCCTCCAACTTTTTGGACAACCCTCGTAAATTCAATTCAACCGTTTTGCAATGAATAAGACGTATTTCTTTATTCTCTCGTGTCTTATCTATAAACTACTTCTATCTTTGTACATTTACTTTCATTTTTAAATAAACAAAATATGTACATATACCTTATGCCTCTCTCCCATACTTTTTAAATAAAACGATAGCAAAAGCAAAAGTAACTGTCGGTTTTCCCAACTGAAACCGGATACAACGTTTTAAAGACGACCCGCCTTAACTATACTCTATTCCATTTAAGTAATCTGTTTCAATAGACCATAACAGGGGGTAATTTTTATTCTCTAACGTTTAGGTATTTGTTAAACGAGTTTACTTATTATTAAAAAAGAGCATATGTTTCTTGGTTGCATATATAGCCTTCAACTGTGTTTTGATTCTCAGTATTATCTGATACTATATTTCTGAAGTGCAAAGTTCACTTTTTATTTAAATTAAATCTCTACTTTTACCTCGATATTCTATTATAAATGAATAGTTTAAAGATTTGCCTTTATTGTTTTTTATGTCTGTGTAAGAAAAGTATTTTATATAATATTCAATGTAACAGATTGTGAACCAATGCATTCATAAGTATACGGGTATATATATAGGGTGAAGTTTGATTTGCCTAAATTTATCATATTTATCTCAGATTTCCCAGTAAAATATAACTCAATAAACATGAAAAATCTCAATTATATATATAAAGGATTCAAATGCACGTTGGTTTACGTACATATCACAAAACATATCTTTGCGAAGATAAAAGTCCTTTATAATACCGGAAATCAACTTCAATTAATAAAACCCAACTAATGCATTTGTTTTCTAATAATAGCAAATAGAGCTTTTAAAAAATAGAGAATTATATTAAAATTATTGAACGTTGACGTTGAAGCGTAGAACGAATCAACATTTTTTTTGCATTTCATTTATTGAAAGCTTGTGCCTAACACTTGTATGTAATACAATCTCACCAAAACACCAATCAATTTCTTTACACTTTCTAAATGTAATATTAAAGTTATCTGTACTTTTTTAGTATATGGAAAATCATAATCATTCCGAATTTCCTTGATGAAAATCTGCACACTAATGTTTATCATCTTCTTCATATTTGTAATCTTTTTCTCTCTGTAAAGGTCATAAGATAAGACTGATTAGCAATGTCCCAGAATTCTCCAAGCTTTGTGTATTTTCCTCCAGGATTTCCTCTGATCAAAATTTTCCTTCCATCGTTTTTTGTGGTAAACCTACGTTCTTTAATTTTCCAATTTGACCGCCATATTTCGAATTCCTTGGCATAGGTATTTAGAGAAAGTTGTTTTAAAACCCAGAGACTCCTATTGTTTCTGGCATAGTATTTCTTTGGTTCCTTATACGCAGCTTCTTCCATATTTAAAATGAATTCAAGGTATGTGTTATTTCCTTCCAAAATAGAATCTAACACTGTTCCAATCAACATGTCTTTCAATATACCCTCTTTAAATGTATTTCTTATGGAATCCTGAGAGAAAGCCACGTCATTCAGAGGATGGACTTTTACCTAGATTTAAAAAGTAAAGTGTCTTTTAGTATATCAAAATGTCACAACCGTCAAGTACTGATTGCATCATAAAACTGTCATCATATCTTCAATTCTGTAAAAATAAAAAATGACTGATTTCTTTCAAGTTAATAAGATTTAGAATATTATCGAATTAGTTATCTGTGTTAAAAAAAGAAGTGTTTAGTTTTACTTTTAAATAAGCTGATATATTATTTCAAAATCTTTGATTTATTTTAAAAAAAACTTTGACACACATGACTGGTTTCAGATGATAGAAAATGTCAAGACACGTATTAAAGCCGTGGTCCTTGACATTTTATTTTGGCCGAGAATAAATTCCTACATTTAAAATGAACTTACTTTTTACATAACATCTACACAACTAGAAAGTTTCTTCTTGGAAAACTATTTGTTAAAATTGTGTGTTTCAAATAAAAACAAACCTTCTTTCTCTTTCCTTTGCTCTTTCTATCACATGATATGTCTGTACATGTCGAATTCTTCCATGGAAATACTCTATAAAAGCCTCTTGGGACAATCTCATCATGTACATTGTCCAGGTAGTTCAGTGGATGGAATTCTGAATAAACATGTTCAATGGCTTTAAAATAATGATTAATCATTATTCATACATGGTCTTGTCTAAATTAAATAGACAGAAATAGAAAACAGTGCGATTTCTTTCCTTAAAATTAAGTACCTCAAATATAAGCCAAATTATAGTTAAAATGTTTGATTTGGTAACTGGTAAGGAACACACATATAGTAAATATTCAAACATGTTAATTTGTTATTGAGACCTGAATACAAACTCGTAATTATCCTGAATATCTTTATTTAGTTCGTCATTGTAATTCCAATGCTAGAGATAGAAACTAAGTCTTAGGAATACATCAACATAAATATTATAAAGATTTTTGAAAAAAAATTATCTGCATTAATTATATAATTTTCAATAATTTTGTTTTACAAAAAAATGATCAGAAAAATTTAGTTCCTTTAAATAAATATCAAACAGAAAAGAAATAAACACGTAAACCATTCAAACAGCAATGAAGAGAGTAAAATAAGAAAAATTGCAAGTCTTACCAAATGATCCAGCAAAAGCAAGAATAAAAACTAACTGCACAAACATAAGGAACTTTTCCTTCAAAGTTAATCACAAATATTATACAGGTAATGCAATCATGCTATGATAGTTTCACATTGAAATGTTAATGCATTTTGTGCATTATGAAGGTCAGTCTAAAATTAATTGTGGTGCTGAAGTTGTACAAAATGTCAACTTAAATGTCATCTTTATTTCCAATCGATATTAACATTTTCTTTCTACCACATTTAAACATTTTATTTCTTCCATTGCTGTTAATTGTTTTCCTAGCACCTTGAAAATTCCAAATAGTGTTCTTGTAAATACACACAGTTTTAATAACACCTTGAAAATCCACAATCATTTAATTGGAAAATTTAAAATCTATCCTTGTCAGATTCACCTTTAGTTGCAAGCGTTCTTTCTAAAACCACATACGTTTTTTACATAGATATTCTTATTTGAACTTTTTCTATGCCTCTTTTCAGAAGTTGGTCAATTGCATACTTTCACACACCATATATACAGCTACATAGATGCGGCACAGCTTGCACCTGATCAATTGAATTAAGGCAATAATTTTAGATTGGTTTGTTGTCTGGATCATACATTTCCTTTTTTCGATTCTTATTTGAGGTGCATCGTACAATTCTCTCTGATAGAAAATATATCAATATGTGTTTTGGTAAAAAACTATAGAAAAAATGTTTTAAGGAAGTTGGGTTCTGTTATCAAAAGTATTAAGAATGTTTTGCCAAGTATAATTTTAGAATAAACACACATAGCTTCATAAAATACTGTAAAAGTGGTTATATTGCGAAAGTTTAACGATTTCTTCATCTTAAAAAATTTGACGAGTGCAAACTTTGACGATATTTTTGCTATGCAAAATAAAAATGAGTTATCTTTCTTTAATTCCTTACACCTTTGCCAATTTCTCCATACTAGTATCGACGACATAGTACGGACTAAGTCCATTGCTACTATGAACTTATGTAAAATTAGTATTAAAGGGTGTTTTTCAAGTTTATTTTTTTTCAGTATGCATGTTACGCTGGCTAAATAACCTTCATTGCAGTCGGTATTAACGGACGGAACCTGCTAACACACTGACTTTTTCCATGAAATTGTCACAAACAAAATTATCTCCTCCAGACCTGTACATACTATGGATATGTTTAAATAGCTGTTATAGATAAATAAATTAATAAAAGGAAGCTTTTGTTTGTATATCATTTAACTGTCAGGTTATACTGCCCGGGGAAAGAAACCTGCCGATCGGCAGGGCATGATAGTATTTACATATCAATTTACCGTGAGTCATTTAAATATGTGTTTGTTTGACTAATTTATCAAGTAAAAATTCAATTGCAAGTGGGTATCTTTATATATGCATTTAAACATTTGAACATTTTATTTCACTTAATTAGGGCCTCACATGAGGAATAAAAGTACAAGAAATAAATCAACAATGACAAGGTAACAAATGAACAAAGGATTAACATATATATACAATATTAGTTTTGAAGTTTGGAAGAAATTCAAGAGTGAAATAAAGACATTACAATTTTACAAAATTTACATAAGCCAATTAAGATAAATTTATCATCTATAAAATAAATTGAAACAAATTGAAAAAAAATCTACTTTTTGAAAATATTACAACATTTGTTTTAGAACATTGACTTTAAGACTCCAGGTTTCACAATCAAGATACAAAGCATTCAGGGCTGACTGTAACTCCGGAGCAGTTTAAGCAAATATAACTTTGTCGTCAGTATATAGTAACAAGTAGAACTTAAAAAAAAATACCTCAATATCTTCATTATCAAAAAGTAAATGAGATATTTTATAAACATCATTGAGCCCATTATATGCATAGGACATAAAATCAGTCAGATCATTTAGAAATAATGAAAACAAAAGGGGAGATAGGTTTTCACCTTTTCTAACACCAATATTACACATCAGAAAAAAAAACTCTAACTATTTCTTACACAAGAATTGGCATTTTTATAAAAGTTCTGCAAAAACATTAAGCATTTTACCATTGATATCGCTGCGCAGGAGCTTCTGGCAAAGTAAAGTTCTATTAACTGAGACAAAGGCTTTTTTGTAGTCAATAAATGCACAATTTAATTATTTCTCCTGGCTATATACAAGTCAAAAAGACAATTCAAGTTAAAAATATGTCCTACAGTTCCATATCCCTTCCGCCAGCGTGGAGTAGTGGTTAGAGCGTCTGCTCTAGAGTCGCGAAGTAAGGAGTTGATCCTTACGTCGCGGGTTCGGATCCCACTATGGGACGTGGAGACCGGTCCTTCGGATGAGACCGTATAAACCGAGGTCCCGTATCGCAGTAGGTGCTGGCACAAAAAGATCCCTCCCTGCTCAATGGCCCTGAGTGCCGAGTATAGGACAAATTTTCCAGCTCTCAACCGGCAAGTGGTGCCGTCTCCAAACTCCTCGAGATGGACGTTAAACAATATATACAATCAATCAATCCATATCCCTTCCGAAAACCTGCGGGCTCTTCACAAAGAATACCATAATTTACCACAAAACAGGAAAGCCTATTATTCAAAATACATGTAAATAGTTTTCCGAAAAAAAACCTCTGTATACAAATGAAGGAATTATCCCAGATAATGACATAGATATTAGCGTAGTCTATCACAAGTGAAGAAATAAAGAATGCAGTAAATAAGTTAAAAAACCAATAAAACCCCAGGTGGTGATTAGGTTTTGAATGAGTATATGAAAACAACTATTTCAGTTCACACAGGTGTATAGGTCATTTCTCCGCCGCCAAATTGAATGCATTGTTGCAGTTGATGAAACAGGAGTTGGTCAGAAAACCGATTTGTGTGGATGTTAAAAATAACAGAGGAAGTTGAGTTGAGAAGTATACATACCACAGGTATTACCATGCAATTAACAAGATTTACTTTTGTAGTGTTTATCATAGAGAAAACATTTCGAAATGGAAATAGTATATCAGCACTAATGCTTCACGGGCTCCGACTGTCAATACCTCATCCGAGAGAAACATGAATTTGAAACCGAATGCAGACTTTGGATCTCAAATTTGGGAACTGTTGATAAATCCATGTATCAAATGTACAAATACAAAATCCCTCTCCCCATCCGTTGAACGTTTTTTGAGTTGAGCGAACAACAATTTATAAAGCAAACGACCTTCTGTGTAAATTTCAGAAATGTACATATAAATATTCACACCCCAGTTGTGATTACTTTGATTACAGATCCGCCCTATTCAGATCAAAATTGCCAGAACGTCTGTTATCAAACAAATCATATGCTGCTTTACCTTTGCAATGTCAATACAGTATTATTGTATTATTATTCACGGTCTTCTTCAAAGTGCAAGCTGATGTACCATTGTACATTGACCGGCTATTTATATTGTAGTATTGCTCGCTCATTTATTCTAGTGTATTTTTTTTAATTTTGAATGTTGCAAATTTTAAATAGAGAATTTTATGGTATTTGTTAATTTTGAATGATGCAAGTTCAAAAAAATGGAAAATGATACATGTAATTATACTTAAAAAATTGAAATAGTGATATCTTATTTTTGTATGAAAATGACATTTATATCATCTTTAAACATATTTGGTGTGGTAAGTAACCTGTTGAATTGCTCCTTAAATGTCATTTTTTTCCCCTTTTCCAAAATAATACTTAGAGTTATCATGCAAATAAAGAACTTAAAAACAAAAGTACAAACATTATGTCACTACTAGAAACAAATAGTTTTCATTTGATTTGGGAACTGGTTAGAACCCAAATAAGATATTATTGTAAAAGATTCTTAATAACAGAAAATATGCTCCATTGAAGAAAAAAACCACCTACACAAAAACAGTATGAATTTCTGACAAATGCACTTCGAAGCCAAAAACATAAACACTTGAAAAAAAGGTAAGATGATCAAAGAAAATTTGTTTCTAAAATATCAAAATGTATGCAGTATTTTAAAACATAAAGAAACCTTGAATGTAATCAGAGGCATGGTCGTTATTACCTGATGAAGAAACAAAACTGTGTTTTGTTGAGGTCAAGGGATCCTGATGAAGATCCTCCCCAAAAGTATCCTTTTCTGCAATCGAGATACCCAGTAAAATCCATCAATTATTTACCTCATTATATCAAATCTCAGTTTTTTCACATTTAAAAAAAAATCCCTTCTTTTTTTTATAGCTTTACATGTATGCGCATTTTCAAAACCATTTAATGTTGGTTTTTTTTTTTGTAATAAATACAAAGTTTAGAATTTCCTGCATCTTTTTTGAGAATCAACTTTCACAGCATTCCTTAGGTCATTAAACATTTTTTTTTTCAAATGATGAGCAAATAAGCTAATTCTATGGATCTCATTTCTATATTTTAAGGCATAAACGGCAGATTACCTAACAGTCCGAAAATAGAGAGCAAAAAAGATATCACTCGCATCTGCCTCATCGTCGTAGGATTGACACTTACCTTAAAGGACTGTTTATGCTAAAGAAGATTAGGCGCATTCACTTGTAAGTAAATCGTTGTGTTTATAAGTAAATATTCCATAATCGCAGCATTTAGTCACATTAACATACGAATATATTTCCGGAAATAAGCAATCCTCCTTTTCATTCACAAAACAACGCACATAGCAATTTAAGTTCAGAAAAAAACACGTTTATTGCATTTTATTATATTTTTGGCTATAAATTTTCTAATATCAATATTGATTATTTTTGATGTGTAGGATTAATCAAGCTTACTTCAAAATATGTTATTTTGAATTTCTTGGGTTGAATTACGGAATTAAATTGTATGTTTTAAATGATTATTGATCGCTTTCAGCAAATTTTGATGGATGATAAGGGGGAAATTGTGTAATCAAAAAAAAAAAACACATTTTGCTTAATTTACAGCGTTTTTAGTTTCAAAGTTTGATTCGATTTGAACATTTTTTTTTAAATAAACGTATACAATGGGATTGGACACAAGTTCTAAAAACTTTATTTCCCCTCTCCCTCCATGAAATATCACAAAGAATGAATTAGACGTCTTCAACAGTTTGTACAGAATAAAGTAACGCACAATGTAGACACATATAATGCTACATTATTCCTTATTCAAATTACAAAATTAATATAGGAACAATCAACCGATCTACCAAAATGCTGATTACAAGAATGAGCAATAGAAAAGAGAAATTCATTTTCAGCAATTTTCAGCAATACTGACTGATGTAGTATAGTGTCAGCATATTTGTTAAATTTTCTTTAACCCAATTGTTATTCTCAATTGTAATAATCGACCTTTATCCGTCATTAACAATGTTCGAATCCCAATATTCCAATACAACATAACTCCATGCATATTCAAATAGTCTGCATTTTCTCCATACGTGTAATTAAACATAATCGATCTTTTTCGATATTTTCGTTTTGTCTTAGTTTAACCATGACAATGGAATGGGGTTACTTAATATCTGTTTCTGTAATGGATTGAGCCTCCTCTATGTGTATTAATCATATACTGAGATTGAAATATAATTAAAGCAGCTGCAAACTTCCCAATCATAAAATATTCCTTGTAAATTCTTTGTCTTGAGACTTTGGTCGGTCAATGCCGACGCCTGCATTCAATTACAGTAGAATCTTGTATAATGAAACTATCATTGACAATATTTAAGAATTTGATTTGAATGTTTACAAAATATTTAGTTTAGATGTAGTTTATAAAAAAAACTTGTCACAAGGAATGCATTCTGCCAAAAATGAAACATTTAAATGTAGTTTATACAAAACAGAAAAATGCAATTAATTTTACTAAACTTACACAACATGACTTGTTGCATCTGTATAATTTCTATGAGAAATAGAGATATATGATCGGAACTGAAATGTAATCAGTTATTTTACGAGGCAGCATCTGTTTCATGGCTTGACAATGCCCTCTGTCTATCTGCACGTAATGTGTTTGTCTGCTGTGAATGATATTTCATTCAACCACATTTTTTGACTCCACACATATTATATATAGATCCATCTATAAATGTACAGTGGAGGTTTGCAATCATGGAAAAACCTAGACTCTGGTTTCGTTGATTGATTGGTTTTATGTTGGTTAAACATCACATTTGAGAAAATTTATTTATTGTGAATTATATAGAGACGTCGCAATTTATTTTTAGCCGGGCTTATTGCTCAAAGAGCAATTGACGGCTTATGTCATCCTGTTCAAGACATTTTAAAGCTACTTGTAAAAATATAGTTCTTACTCTCGACCGCTTCTGAGATAATACAAACGCTACATAAAGCAACATGAATAGAACGAAGTTTTATCTAAATAAATAAACATTAGTTGTAATGACTTTGAAAACTTCAGTCTTAAGTCAAAGAACATAGTTTATTAGCGTAAGGATTTCTGATAATCAGTGTTATCGTAGTTCTCTACACTAAGGAGGAAAAACAGGAGAGGGAACCAGGCGGGTCTGTTTGTTTACATTCAGCCGTAGAACCAGATTAATTTTGATTCTGACAAAATCGGACCGTGGTATTTGGATCGAAAACTCACTGTCAGTGTCTTATAATTTATATTGCCAGTTTGAAAATAATTTTTCTTCAGAATTTTTAATCTGATATTCTTGTTATTTATATGTTAATACAATATAAACGTATGATTCATGTAGGAAATTCATTTCACTCTATAAATGAGCCCGGCTCTCTGTACTTCTGAGTACTTTGATTATTTTTTCTCAATTGTTTATCGGAATGAATATTAAGAATTTTACTTAGCCCTTAAAAATTTATTTACTTAAATTTCATTTTCAGCTCAATTTTTTTCTTTACAAAAAATGGGATTTAAACAAAAAACAATTTCGACGTTTAAACTAGTAGAAAACCCATTTATAAAGCCATCTGAATAAAAGATACTGGAGAAGTGGTTTATAACTATGAATATACAAACACTGCACTTCTCTTTCCGTATTTACTCTTACAATATAAAAATAAATTATACAGAAATCCATATTAACACTAAAATCGCTTTGTTTATTCTAGAATTACTTGTAACAATCTTTATAGAATATAAATGTATATGATATCATTAGATTAAGTAAAAGTAATTATATGAAAAAAAAATATTTTATTTAAACTAAGATTTTTTTGACACAGCAGAATTGACAGGAAATAAAATAGATACAATGTAAAATACAAACGATAATGATAAATGGTATGAAATTGTATCCGTAAAAACGTATTCCAAAATGGAAAACAGATTCTGCTTGAAAAGAATTAAGTCGTTTTGTAAACATGACTGTATATTTTTGAAAACATTTTGTGAATCGTATTTAGATGCAGAATTGTAACAATTCAAAACAATATTGCCAAATCGAAAACATTTGAATGGCTTCAAATTCAGGCCAAGAAGGACTTTTAACAAAGGATATTGAAAATTGTTTTTTAAAAAAATAGACACACATGGTAAAGTAGATTTTCAGATTGAATTATACGGAAAAATTAAACAAAAAAGAAACCTGGAGTTGATATTTACATGTAAGCTCAAAAGCTCATGCAAACAATAAAAATCAGGTACAGCGCAAACACGGGCAATGACAAACATCAAATGTGCGATCAGGTACCATGGAGGGGGAAACACACCCTGCTAATTGATCGAATCCGCCATTTGCTTCTTGAGATGATCGGGAAAACGAAAAAAAAATCTGCAAACAATTTTGTGCGTAAAAATTGGCCTAACAATTATTATGAAAAGGCAGTCAGCATTTGATGTATCAATGGATTGTATTTGTTGACAAGGACATTGTTTTGAGTATGGTATTTGCAAAACGTTGACTAAAAACGTGACTGTTAAATTTTCGTATTTCATCAACTTGTTTGTCAGTATATGTAACTTGCTTTTGTTTTAGAAATTATTTTTACACACGTAGATCATGTTATTGCCATACGAATCAACTGACAGGCATGAAGTCATACACATATGATAAAGGTATTTTGTTACAGTGAGGAAGTTGACGATTTAAAAGTTGAAGTTTTTATCATTAGGCTTTGTTGATAGGTTACAATAAACAAGTTTCAGTAAAATAAGAAAAACTCTGTACTTTATCTTGAAGAACTATATTATATATTAATGGCATATTTTGAAAAACATATGATATTTAAAATGAAGTTCATGTTATTTGTGTAAATAATTCATTTATTATATTTTTGACAGGTTTTAGATATTACTATGAAGAAAAAATAACTGCGATAACACGTGATCATTTGCTTAAATTTTACATAGGTTATCTTAAAATGTAATTTGTTAATATATAGTGTATAACAGAAACAGTAAAAAAAAAAGAGGAAAAGAGAGGAGGATCCAGACTTTTTCGGAGAGGATCAAACACTTATTCTGGTATCAGGCGTTAAACGAAAGTCTGAAAAAAAGAAAACACAATAATTATAATTCTCCTTAATTATTTTATTTTAAATTCCCTTTTTTCAATTACTAAACTTACATGTTTTACATGTGTTACTTACTGTGCTTGTTAATGCTCAAATTTTCAAAGAAGACGTAGAAACCAGTTTCTTTAGTGAATGGATCTTTTTTCCGCATAATTAAAGAAATATCCTTTGCATTAGGTGCTAAGGAAGCGATGCTTTTCAGACGAATAAAATCTTTCATCGAAGTTTTTTCTACAAAAATTTTTTAAAAAGATTAGCATTGAAATCAAATTTATTAATAAAATTTATATATTTTGTTTTTCATTTTTTTTTCAATTTTTATAATTGATGTTTAACAATACAGCATAATTAGGATTCTACAGGAATAAGTTTTTATTCTTCTAGAAAAATAATAAAACATTGTAAACATTTTACCTTTATCTTTCTTTTTCTTATTATTCGAATCATCACTTTCACTGGCTAGGCTTAATGTAAAGTCTTCCTTTTTAGATTTCTGTCTTGTGGCATTGTTTTTGAACTGGTTAAATTTTTCATCCCCATGAAATAAGCGGAATTTATTCTCCAAATTTGGAACTGTATTATTTAGATATGTATCTATAAAAATATGTATTATAGTAAGTTCTGATGAGTATCTATAAAAAAAAGACTTGTTGACATTGGCTTTACAAACAACATTTCCTCCAGCTCGCACTCTTTGAAAGTAAATTTTGGTGTTCTGAGATAACTAAACATTAAACACTTGTCTAAGTTTATTCTATGAAAAGGAGATATTTTTTTTAATCTCAAAACTTGTAATGATTCAATATAAAAATGGACAGTTCAACTTTTTAATAATTACCTTTCTTTTCCTTTAAATTTGATTCGATTCCTTTTTTCTTTGACACAAATGATATTCCGGTCGGCCCTTCAGACAGCCAGCGATATTGAGGGGCAACTAAATTATTAAAAGAATATTTTTTTCAGTATTTCTTTTTATCAACCTAGGTAAGCATAAACATTAGTTGTTACGTTGATCCTAAAATAATCTAATGTATATTATCACATTACATGATCAGTATATCCTTTCAAGGCACTCAGATATTAATAATTTTTAAATTGAATCAAGTATTCTCCATTTTCATATGAGTACCTTTTTTCTCGTGTATAGTGTATCTAAATGCCCTAGACAGTTTCTTAATTATTGCCATCGTTTCTGTAAAGAAAAAGATAAAAAAAATGTACATGTAATGAAGTAATTGTCTGTCCATGTAATACAAAAACTAGTCAATCACATGTATACATGTATATATGAAATATCCTTTAGGCCATATTTTAGGTTTACCTTTCTTTAAATCTGATTCCATAAGTGTTTTCTTCTTATTTGTTGTGGACTTAGCAGAAACTATTTTCTCCTCCTATTAAAAAGTTAATGTTACATCTTCAATAAACAAATCTTCTAAAGAAAAACATATTTGATAGCAAAAATATTGTTATTCAAACAATTTTTCAATCATATAATTTACATTTTGAACTGGTAGGGGGAAAATTAAAGACATAAAGATACAACTTCCTTTCTAAATCGTTTTTTCTCTTCTTTTCTTTCTTTCTTTCTTCCTTTCTTTCTTTCTTTTTTTTGAAATTAAATACGCGATTGATTGACATTGATTTACGTTATGTTGTTGATGTTTCATTAAATGAATACAAAGAACTGCTTATTCATACCTTTTGCATATAATTAAAAAAATACAATATATATGTTGAACTTTTCTTACGATATGGATCTAATCGAATCTTAACGTACTAGATATTTCAAAAGCAAAAATTCCTGAGAATAAAGTGAAATAATATATTGTTTTCTTGGTATGCTAGGATGAATTAATGATATGATGGACTATAGATTCCATCATTTTTCAGACGTTTTCTTTAATAATGGAAAAGACATCATTTTCATAGCTGCTTTGCCCTAAATATTTAAGAAATGTGTTTTCGCAGGTATGTTAAGGTTACAACCAAAAATTCTACTTGCCTGTATGATATGACGTCATAGTAAGCTATATGACGTGAAGTTTCAGAGATAACAATTTCATAAAATCGATATCTAAAATTGATTTGAGGTCGTAAATTGGATCAAAATATGCAGAGGCATAATATAAACGGAATTTTGTCCTTTCTGGGAAATATGTATTTATACAGGGGTTAAATACCAAACCCGTGACGTCATAACTGTTGATCATGCAGTAGCAGAGTGAAAGTGAAATGTAACGCGAATTCATGTAAACAAATAGGCCTACAAGAAATCGGAGTTTAAAAGTATTTAGAATGAATATCATGTGTGATTCAGGTGGGAATAAAGCTTATGAATAAGGATTGCTTATATAACTCTACAGTTTCTTCGTAAAATAAAAGCAGAAAGGGTGTTTACTTGCCGATCAGTCTTTCCTCTGTCGTTCCTAGCAAAAAAATTCAAAAGTTCAACACTACGCCGCATACTTTGAAACTTAATTTTTATTTCTATCTAAAGTTCTTATTCTATTGATTTTGGAAAGTGCTGCTAGAATCGTATGGTTTACGGGAATTGATGCATTTTTTTCGATGTTATGAACAAAATGTAAAGATTTTGGGAAGGTTTCCTCCCCGCGTTTATAAAGACTTTGAACCCAACATATCCAAACTTGAAGTGGGTGACGGCTGTGGAAACAAAGGGCTTTGTCCAATATTTGCCCCCAAAATCAAACATTGAGGAAGAAATATAAAATAATGTTCTAAAACAGAGATATATTTGCAGACTTCAAAGCACTAAATATTCTTATATGCAATGATGCCAAATAATTGATATGACGTCATAAAATTGACGTAATCTTAAATTTTGCCATGATTTTTACAGGAAAATAATTATGTATATTACGTCGATATTTTCAGTACAAAATCACCCAACTAGGATCAGCTCCAGCTTAATTCTTTTTATATAATGTGTAGAATGATGAAATCAATGAAATATTCAAATCTTCCTCTGGAGCAAGCCTGTGCTCTTTAATTTTTATAGTAAAAATTGGGAAAATTATGTCAATTTTTTTTTTCTTCTTTCTGAACCCCCCCCCCCAAAAAAAAATCCGAATGGTTTGTGACGACAAAAAATCAAAAATTGTCAGTAACCTACTTTTTGTTAATTTAGATTTCTTATAAAATATATATAATTTAGCAATTTAGTACATTTCAAGAAATTTTCAAAATTTGACATGGGGGGGGGGCGCAAAAATATGCGATATACAGCATTTAGCTCTTTTCTTAAGAACAAAAAAAACCATTAATAAAATATCGCAACATCATTCATTACTTGTACAAATACATATCTGACACATACCGGGTACTGAGTACATACACTGTATTCCGTAACATTATTAGATCTACACATGACCTACTACATGCCTTATAAATATATATAGCTGCACGTACATACCGCATTATCATCCGAGTCCGACATAACACACACAACAAATCCTACAATAAATAAGATGCACACTCGCTGCATGTTAACATTCTACTAAATGATTGCTCATAATCTGTAATAATTTATACATGCTTTCTTAAAATAATGCAAATAGACGATATAATCAATGACAAATATTAAGTACCATGAAGTGCAATTAATGGGCAGAATACGGAATTGATTTCCCTATTTTTTTTTTTTTAGTTTAATTGAAAGATATTTCATAATCTTTTTTATTGTTCAATTTAAAAAAAATTGAATTATGCATATTTTAAAAATTATCTAAGGTTCATTTTTTTCTTAATTCAAGTTTAGATATTTAGGCAACAGAATGCTTTTCTTTGTAGAAGAAACTTTGTGGCTACCGATCAAGGTAAAATCAATTATTGTGGAATTACCTTCATAAAATGTCATTTTTGTCAATCTTTATAAATGTCATACACACACCAAAATTCTACTAAATGACAAAGAACATCATGCAAAAAGTAAAATGCTGATTTGTTAATTAACCCTCGACATTATGCCATAAAGAATAATAATCAACTGGTACAGTTCTTGAAATGTTAACATAAGAATTTTCGGAAAGCAGGAGAAATGTTTGTCATTTGGAAAACCCATGCAACCGAAATCATATCACTGACATTGCTTCCCATTTGTCGTAATGAAACCTTCGAATTTGAATTATAGTTAATTAGAACTGTCTTTAACAAGTCACTGCACATGCATGAACAAGGAGAAGAAAGATCACCCTGAGAGGCATACGATTAAGCCACAAAAGAGAGTTACATCTTTCGTATACATTAAAATCTATCCATGTCTGTGCTATACTTATGAATAGATTTTGCTTTTAATTAAACACACCTCTTTAATCGACACTATTGATATTAATTTTGGAGAGGCTAAGTTTCATTATATCATCAAATGGGCACAGCGCCAAAAAGTTTATAAAAACGCTTGATCCATTGACATCACCGACTAAGCAATACCATTCTCCTATTCTCCTCTTCCTTAACCTCTCTATAATTTTTGATTGATTATTATTCAGAATGTCATGTCTGATCAACAAAATGTACAGATTTGATTTGACATCAGAACCTGTTTCATGCTTATTAGTCCTTCTTTATAAATATACCATCTTATTGTTAGCCATTACAAAATCCATGCATCTGCATTACATCTATAAACACGTCAATGTGTTCGTTTGTTTAGTTTAATTCTGTAAAACTTTGCTTTAGATTTAACAAGACAACAAGAGTTGTTTCTCTTTCCAATCCTAAAATAACAAATTAAAAGAAGAATCCTTTTTTCTGTGCAATCAACGATTTTAAATCCTTTTAGCCAATACTAATCTTGCAAATAACTAAAAATTAACTGAAGTATGTGATTTTGAAAACACTACGCCTAAAACGAATACATCTATATGCAGTGAAATCATTTAAATTGACAACTTATAGATTTTAAGGTAAGAAACAGATATAGAGCATAAAAACAGGTAACAAATATTTACACGTAAGAAAGCGAGCTCATTTATGGGCAGTATGATTCATTGCCTATCATGTTTTTCACATTTTATCTGAAAATCTTGATTGAAAGATTAAGTTCAGAAATGTAACACAAATGATTTTTTTCACGAGTTTGTTTATAGTCTGTGGTTGCGCCTAGTGGATCTATTGAGTCTTCTCTCTCTCAGCTCATTTTATATGACCAGTTTATTTCAGAAAATTATTTTTAAATTCGCATTTTATTCTTTACTTAGAACATTAATTGGAAATTCCCTTGCATGATTTAACAGAGCGAGTCAGAGAATACACACAATACTTACATGGTCTAGGGAGCACAAAAGCTGGAAATATATTCTGTATTCAGATGTAGACACATACACCTTTGTACTCTTTAGAATGAATCGAATATATATGGCATGATACATTGTACATTAATCAAAAAGCAAGTGGTACTTAACATTGAAACCATTATTTCTACAGTGTAAGAAGTGGATTCCATGAAGTCATCATAACGAAATACTAATGAAATTTAATCATTTATTTATTTTTAAGGGAAAGAAATAAATTTTGAAAGTAATATTCATGAATTGATAAAATTAAATTGCACATTTATTTCGTGTGTTGTGAATTACCTCTAACAAGGTATGTTTATTGCAAATGATCCTTCAACTAAAGCACACTAAAAAATTAAAAATGTTATTGGTTTCATCAATGCTTTAACTTACCTAGTAGGTATTTGCTAACAAAAGATTCCTGGTTTGGTTACGAACAAGTTTGTATGGTAGAGTGAAAGTAGAAAATAACTCATCCTGAATATATATAAACAGCATATGAAGTATTTGTTTTCTTTAAGTAGTTTGTCTTCGATACAAATATTCGTATTCTGTAACTTGTATGGAAAAAATAATTGTTACTTATCATACTTTTATGGAAAACTATTTTTTTTTTCAAATTCCGATAAACATTAAAAGTAAATATACAAATTGCATATCTTATGGAATTTAAAAGTTGAACATACTTGTCCTACATATACTTCATGCAAAAAAATAAAGCATTATGGTAGAAAATGTGTTAGATTCTAGATAGTTTTTTAAACAGTGATTTTTTTTTATTTGGAATTAATAGCTCACTTAACCCTAATGAACTGAACTCAAAAATGCTTTATTGCTGACTCTGACAGAAATGCTAAAACATTTCATGGAGGACATGATCCCTTGAAACTGCTAAAAAAAATCTAGTTTAATCACCTCAGAAATAAACGTGTTTACCTGTCTTAATATAATATACGTTTATCTTTCTGGAAAAAAATATACGACTCTTATATCATTTTTATTGTCAATTTTCCTATTCTTTGAAAGTTTGCCAGGTTTATAGATAACCATTGATTATCATTTAATTTTATTTAATGGCTCATTGGTTGAGTTTGATTATTCTGGTTTTTTTGCGAGACCCCTAAAATAATATTAAGGTCGTTGAAGTCTGAAAATATTTTAATTTTATTATATTTCAAAAAAAATTCATTTTCACAGGGATTGCACAGACATTAATTGTTTAGGTCATAAATAAATTACACGTGAACTTATTGTCACTAAATGTTTGATTACAGTTCATAGCTTCTGTTACGCTGTACGAGGGGTGATTAAAAAGTTCGCGAACTATTTCTATATTTACAAAGCCACAATTCAGATCAGAATGAAATTTGACACACATAGAGTCATACATATGTTCTAAGGATAGGATATGTGATGAAACGTTTTGCCCCATGTTTGTGTCGTCACAATGTGAAAATGACGTTAACATGTAGGTCACTTGTATTCGAGAGACAAACGGCTGTAATGTTAAATGTATATCTTGGAAATCCCTTTGCAGAATTTTATGATAACTTGTTCACGGTTTATGAAGATAAAAAGCTTACCAGAAGTTAAGTCATTAATTGGATTGATTGTTTAAGCGAAGGAAGGTAGATGTTAAATAATGATATTTGTTCTGTCGCGCAGTGAAAGCAAACTGGAAGAGAGACGTGTCCTTTGTTAAGGAATTTGATTTGAAAGATCGCCAACTTACAGTTTGAAAAATAGTTAATTATCTATACAATAATATAATGATTAAATCGCTAAACTATCGTTCTATACACTTAAACATATCAGGTATGCTAAAAAGAAGGCACCCATATTTTATCCACATTGAAAAAATGACGCTCTAAAGACAAGGACTTGGGTTTTGACTGTCACCATGCTCATTCTTGACAAGGATATCATTATCCACTCATACTATTGTTGAGATTTGGCCATTTCTTACAAATAGTCTGTTTTTGTTGTAAAAAAAAAAATAATAATTTGGATGATAAGAAATATAAGAGTTGGAAAAATCTTTAAGCTTCTGTGACAGAACGCTAAGCAGCATGTCATGTAACCGCCTATATCAAGTCATCCTCGCATGGGTAGAACGGTTGCAGATGCGCATAAGAATTGGAGAGGACTACTTTAAACAAGAATTCAACACTGAAACCCTATATCATTTCTTTTATTTGGAAGTTATTCCATGAGCTCGCGAATTTTTAGATCACCCTTCGTATTAATTAGCTAGAGGTTTGCTTTCTTTCTTAATCCTTACCCCCTGAACCGAGAACAATCTTTGTTGGATTGACACAGATTTGTTGTATTGACACAAGTTTGTTGTGTTGAGACAGATTTGTTTCAATCCCCAAAGAAACAAGTAATAATCTAGACCTGTGTTTGAAAGATTACCTCCTCAATATTTACCTTAAGTTGTAAAAGAACGTTGACAAAAAAACAATAAGACCATGCACAAACCACAACGCCTTTAAGATTAGCAAAATGATGTTAGATAAATATGAAGAACGTATGGATGTCCTTCTTATCTTAGAAATTGGCTTTTAAAACTTACGACTTTTCAACTTTATACACAACCATCCCCCACGATAAATTAAAATCCAGGCTTTTTGATATCATTGACAGCTGGTCTTCAATAAAAATGGAGCTCGTTAATTAACTTACCTGGTCATTGGTCATTTACAAAATTATTTTGTTAAAAAGATTCTGATTGCACACACAAGTACTCTGAAGTTGACATCAAGAAGATGCTTGAGTTTCTTATTGACAATATCTATGTGGTTTTTGAAGACCAGGTCTTGTCTTCCAACAGTCTACTATAATTCCCATGGGAACCAATTGCGCTCCGTTATTAGCAGACCTATTTTTGTATTCATATGAAGCAGAATTTATGCAAAATCCTATACGTGAAAAGAAGAAAACACTTGCTGTGGCCTTCAACTCGACCTTCAGATATATCGACGACGCATTGTCAATTAACAATGGTAATTTCCATTCCTACGTCGATACGATATATCCAGGAGAGCTCGAAATTAAAGACATGACAGAGTGTGACACATACTTGGATATTTTACTTGAAAAAGACGTTAATTGTTCCCTAACAACCAAGCTATATGATAAACGTGACGACTTTAATTTTCTATCATCAACTTCCCTTACTTATGCAGCAATATACCTTCATCACCTGCATACGGAGTCTATCTATCTCAATTGATTCGATACGCAAGAGCATGCTCTACGT